CCAAAAGTTCGACTGAACGGGTCGTGGGGAGCGTTTTTTTCGTTTTTTTTTTGTTTTCTGCGGCAAATGGCAAACGGCCACCGATTGAAAAGTGCCGAAAAATATAACAAGACCGGGAAACGAGTAAAAATAAAAACGAATGTAAACTCTCACTGGCAATCTAATTGTTTGGACAACAGCTGGAACATTTGAATATAACAAAGCAACGAAATCAATTGGTTCTTCCGCATTTTAGCCAAGAATTATACATATTTAATGGCATTAACTATAATATTTATTAAATAAAAGAAATGAAGTTTAAATGAATAAATAACTGAAGCCATGTTAGTTTGCCAGTGCATTAATACAAAAACTTTAACAAGCCACCACAAAGAAATGTCAAATAAAATGCAAATACATCCCCAGTTTTAATATTTATAAAGCAAATCATCAATAGTGAATTGTGAAAAATGTGTATAAATGGTAGTTACAATTGGCATAAATCGTTTGCATAAATTAAAACATTTTAGTAAACAAATCGTTAATCACCATCAGTGGCAAAATGTGAAATGCGCGATAAGATTGGCTTTGTTGGTTTGATTGTGAGCTTGATTGCCGCAATTTGTGTCAATTATGCGTGAGTGACACGCCCTTTTGTACCACCGCCCACGCTTTTAATTGAAATTTGTCTGTTTTTTGTCGTTTCTGCCGGTTTTTCGTGTCTTGTGTGCGTGCGAAAAATGCCCAGTTTGCGCTGATAAAGAAAATTAAAGCTGCACAAAGCACTCGAGGGCGGGAAATGCCAGGGAAAGCGGGAAAAGCAGCCAAGCAAAGGCAATAACAAAAAACCAAGGCCCTGAGGGCAAAATAACACAAGCAAAAAAAGCAGAGCAGCCGAGTGAAAGTATGGGATTCTGATTGGAAATTACCATTTGAGATACGAATCGATTTAATGATGATTTAGCAGGTTTGAGTTTCCAGCAGCCACCGCTTTTAAGACCCTTACAAAGTGTTCAGATGTGGGCTAAGTGCACTGGAGCGATTCTCAGAAATGAGCCAAGTGTCGAAATAATTTATTGGTTTGCAATTAGGGGGGATTAGCACACTGGGATACCCATTAATATGGTTTCCGATGAATAACATTTATGCGGTCATGGAGTTTACGCAAATTGTTATCTACAAAACAAAAATTGTTCTTTGATTTATTTTTCATTAACAAAACTTATGAGTAATATATTTTGGATTTGCGTAAAATACTATTATTAAGTTCAAAACAATTGCCTCATGCTTGTTATGAAAAGTATTATCCACTTTCAAAAATTTGCCAGTGTGAATAAGCGTTTCCGGTTCCAATTCGAGTTAATATAAATTAACGAATACATAGTGAATGCAGTTTAAACAATTTAAACCGACATTTCCATTCGTGAATAATTCAAGCAAAGTGTGGGGAGGTTTAAAAAAAATATGCAAGAGGCATGTCGACTGACAGATGCCCTCTAACTTCTTATGCTTCTTATATTCTGGCTTAACAAACCAATAACTAGCATACCCCAAATACCGTATGATGTACAAAATAGCTTGCCGCCTAGAAAATATTTCAATGGGCTTTAATTGCCTTGCTTGCAATTGAAATTTATTGCCCAGTGTTTGCGATATCTAAAGCAAATTATTCATAAATTACTATCTGCTTGGCCGAGTGACGCCAGCATTATCAGCTATCTACTGTGCGATATTCCGCTTTATCTATGCAACCGAATTCCGATGGCTTTCAACATGCCCATTTACATGTCGACCCACCAAGCAATTGGCAATGGGAATTTACCACAATATTTTATCTCCAATTTTGGGCGAGCGTATGTGTGTGTTAGGAGGGGTTATTTATTCGCCCGCCCAAATATTTGGTATTTCTATTAGAGCCAGACCGACCGACTAACCGAAAAGCGAAAATGTTGTGATAGTTTATGGTCTGTCCGTGTCTCTGGCAGATAAATAATTATTGCATTAGCCGCGAAAAGCGAAAAGCGTCCGAACCGCTCTCGATTCGATTCGTTTCGTATCGTAGCAACGCCCCAGCTTGATTTTGAGCCGGGCCGCGAAACGTGACACTTGGCTATCAGATGTGGCACCGTGGCTAAAAGCGGGGCATGTGGCACGTAACAGGTGGGCCAATGGGTAGCGGGTAACAGGTAACAAGCAACCATGCCGAAGGTTGCGGTTGGGCAGATGTAAGCGGAGATCCGCCCACATCGAGAATTTATCTCTTATCCTCTGGTTCGGGGGCCAAGCCAAACACGCTCGCAAAATTGGTCATAAATAATGGAGTGGTAAATACATAAATTAGGGCTATAAATTACCAATTTTAAGTTTAACTGAGTGAAAGGAAACCAAAACCAAATCACAACAAGATTGTTAGGTTAGGAACTGATATAAAGTCATTATTTATTTCTATTTATATCAGACGAACCCCTATTTAATCAAATTCATCATTATAAACTTGACGATAAGGCCCACTTGCCTTTGTAAAATATTAAGATTAACCTTATTACTTTTGAGTTGCAATAAACAAGCTTTAAAATATGACCAATAAATAATGAAGTCCAATAACTTGTCTATATAGCAAGTGGAACGAAAATGTTCCATACACCTCGCACTAGCAAATATTTCCGCAAAATTTTCCTAAAATATGTATACTTATGAATTTTTCCAGTAATTATTCGATATTGATCTTTATCTTGTTTATGACTCTTAGCTTTTATAAGGCGCGCCAATGGGTGGTGTGCAATAATGATATAAGTACGTCAAAGTAATTAAAGCTTAAAAATAAATTATTATGGTTATAGTAATGTATGTTTATCTTATCAAAAGTAACTCTATAGAAAACTTATTTAGGTCCACGCAGAGAAATTTGTGACGTTGTCATCTGAGTTGAAAATGTTCTTAAAAAAAACGAAATTTTTTAAGATGAAAAAGTTTTCACTTTGCTTGAATCAATCAACAAATAAATTACAAGTCCAGTCGGTAGTGTATATTTATCAAAAAATTTTAAAGAGACTCATTTTAACTATGGTGAGAAGAGCACCATTTCGTTCTAGTATTAAGAATATTGATACGAAAATGTACTTACACGGTTTTTAAGAACGAATGTTCTCAATTAAAGAACAATGTTATTGAATATTTCTCTCTGTGCATAAGTATTTCTTTCTATTAAGCATATGTTCAGTAAAAGTTTGTTAAAAATATTACTGATAAGATGGCTCTCTCTTAAAAAAATGTTATCTTTTTTATAATATTTACTATATCCGCTATATAATCAAAAATTATATGTTATAAAGCTTATTTTTGGTCCATGGCTTCTATATAACGTTGACAACCAGTAGCATTGATAGATAGAGATCATGTTTCCTATCTCTTGGTCCGATCAGCTGCGAAGGGGATTCCATTTCCAAATCGAATCAGCTCTTTTTCGACTTTGTCCACCGCAAGTCCCCGAAGTGGGCCCAAAACCGGCTGGCCCGTGACCATTTAACAAGTTTCGTTCAGTCGAATCAATTAGCGCTGACGATCGGATTGCCAAGAGCGTCATCGGGGGCTCCAGGGTCTGACGTTTTGGATCGTTTCAGATTCAGTTTTGGGTTTACTTATGTTAATCAGCTGGCCGGGATGCAAATGAGCGTTAACAGAGCCGCTGCTTTGGGCTAACAGAGCTCCCAAAAGCTCTCTACGGATATTTCGCTCCAGAAAATAAAGGCAGTCGGTTGGCCAGAACGCGTTTGTGACTCGAGCGAAGCGCACGTGCCGGGAAAACGATACGAATTCGCAGAGCCCAGAGGCTAAGAAAGGAAAAGCTGGGGAAAAACTGCCCCTACATTTTCCAGCAGTGTGTGTGTGAGTGAGTGCGTGCGAGAGGCAGAGGAAATCTTGTGTAACCCGCGGAGAGGCAGTGGGAAAGAGAGAGGGCGACAGCTGGGAAATTCACCACAGGCCATGGACTTGGATTTTCCGCTCGTGTGAAAATGTATTCGCACGCTCACTACGTTTCGGTTCGCCACCAAAGGCAGTTGCTCCTCTGATTTTCCCGTCTCCGCGCGTGTAGTGCAGTGTAGTCCCAATAAGACCAGTACCAAAAAGTCATCGCTGAAAAAGTAAACAAAATAAACGCCAAATGCCGATGGCACAAGTGCTTGAAACTAGAAATTTAATTGCCAAATACTGGGCTCTATAAACCAAAATACCCCTCATGAGAATAGGAGAAAAGCGGTCATAACTATTACAGCCATTATGGTTAAAAAAGTGCCCTAAAAAGCGGAAAACCAAAAAAACAGCGCAGCCAAGTGATACGGAAATGATAGTAACTGTTGCTTTTCGCTGGCAAACACAATTGTATCTGTGTTACAGGAACACAGAGCTTCAATCGAGTCCTTTGTGGATTTGTGTTTGCGATTCCGTCTTTGGATTGTGGCATCAATCAATGTGAACTCTCCAGATTTTGTATGCCTAAGCAGGGTAGCAAAGGGGTTGCTTTAACTGTTATACAGCTAATTTAAAGTGATAGAAAATGTAGAAGTTTTCAAATAAAAAATTTTTTAATATTTATTAAAACGCTCAATTCATTTATATATAGCCTTATCAGTTTGTTTTAGCCCTAACACATTTAGAGTAGCAAAGGCCTAATGACACTAGCTTGAGACTTGAGAAACTGACTGGATTTATTTTAAAAAGTCAAGACAACATAACATCAATATATAAAATAATAAGATGTTGACATGCTGGTAACCATTTCTCTCTAGGTTTTTAAAATAAGTCCAAACAGTTAAACAAAAATTAAGCAAGTGTCATAAGGGCTTAAAGCAAAGAACACAGTACGTATGCTTGATTTTCTTATAGAAAGAAGTAGGGTCAGAATTTAAAATTTAAAAGTATGATTTAAAATGGTTTAAGAAAGAGTGATACAAAAACTGATTAGGAAGTGATAACTAAAGACAATAATGAAATAAAAGACTAGCAAACTTAGCTATAAGCTGTTTAAAGCCATACCAAATGGATTTTTGGATAGATCACGAGCTACAAAATGACCAAAAATTGTTATTCAGCAGGCAAACGAGGAATGCAATCTAATATTTATGCGAGCGTTGTGAATTCAAAACAAATATAGGGTGTACCCCGATCGAATCCCGAATTGGCCCACCTACACAGGTGAGAGCAGTGGCCAGCAAGAACGTGTCTGTTGGCGAAGCACACAAAAATTGGCGTTGCAAAAATTTCGATAAAGCTGAAAAACAAAAGCAAAACATTGAAATAAATATTATTTCGTTTGCACTTCGCTTTTTTATTTGCACGCGCGTCTCTTTTTGCGGGGAAAAATAATATTATTTGCAAAGTTCTTATTTAGCTGCCAGCCCCCCAAAAACCCCTTCAGAAATTCAGAAATTTGTACAATCAACCGTCGGCGCATTAAAATTAATGCTAATTATGAGCTTGTTTGCCCGTCTACCGGTGACATTTGCCTGAGTTTTTGTTTAATTGCTGCGCTTGTTATGAGAAAAATCAATTGAAATCGATGCGAGTGGGACGCGAGTGAAAAATAATTAAATAAACGGCCGAACGTGCGGCCAGTGATTAATAAAATTATGCAAATCGCTTTGGGCATCTCGTTTAAAGCGGGCATCTCAAGTCCAGTTTTTGCATCGTTATTTTCTCGCATTATTATAGGATGGCATTTAGGGCCTAATAAAAACACGCCGAGAACTAAAACTGAAAATCAATAAACACAAAGCCAACCAGCCAGCCAGAGAAGTACGTAACAAGCCAAATGCGGCAACAACAAGTGAGCAAGTTAAAGAACCTTTGCGATTTGTAAACGCTGCGAAATACCCGTCGAGCTAAAAAATAGAAGAAGGTAAAAAAGAACATTTAATAGGCGAACAATGTCGGAGGGCAGCGATAACAACGGGGATGCCCAGCAGCAGGGGGCGGAGGGCGAGGCCATGGGCGAGAACAAGATGAAGTCCCGCCTTCGCAAGGGAGCCCTCAAGAAGAAGAACGTCTTCAATGTCAAGGATCACTGCTTCATAGCCCGGTTCTTCAAGCAGCCCACGTTCTGCTCCCACTGCAAGGACTTTATCTGGTGAGTTTCCTATCTGTAGTATGTAGCATCCCCAAGTTATGGAGCCCCCCACCACCCAAACATAGAACCACCCACATATACCCATATAGAAAACTAAACCCCCCCTCCCTTCGACGGCACTTGTGGGTCTACCAAGCATGGCCAGCAATGCGTCCACATAACATCAGTGGTGGGAATCGATAAATGTATATTGACAAGGCGAAAGAACTGAGCAACAATAGCGGAATAGCGCAAATAATAGAGCCACATGGCAACAAAAACAAAGCACCCACAATGGGTGCCAGTGGTCAAACCCAATTTTTAGATAAATATCGAATTAAGTCTGTGGTCAGCATAGCACTCCTGAAGGTACTTTGTTCCAGGCCAGCCACTACATTTAATAAAAGTTTCAGTTGTTCGAAATATCCACAAAGGTGTATCCACAAATGGGCAATCCGGTTTAAGTGCATGCATTTATAGTATTTATTCAGGGTTTTGTTTATCATCACAAAAAGATTAAAGTTGGCTTTCTTTGCTTTTACTAAAATTGTTATTTAGATTGCATGGTCAACAGTGGGTACATATCTTAAGTAAAGAAAACACAAGTGACAATCTAAAGAAAATTTCTTTAAGAAATTTTACTGAAAACTAAAAACAAACAAATAATTGCTACTTGAGTTTAATTTAAATTCATAATCAAATTAAAATATAAATTTCTTATTTAGATAGCATGGTTAACATTAGGTATCTTAAATAAGGAAAACAGAAATGACAATCTAAGGAAAGCTAAAAATACGTATTAATAGCCCATTAAATTTTATTTAAATTTTTAATCAACTTTAAATATAAAATGCAACCAAAATAAACTCAAAACCCAATTACTACGAAAACTAGAAATTCAATTAAGCAAGTACCAAAAATATTCATTAATTGTAAGAATAATTTTTAATTATTATTTATTTAAGGGATGTAAAATTGAGACAAATAGCAAAAAGCTTAAAGCTCTATTTACTAGAAATATAAAAAAAAGAAAGGACTTTTAAATTCACACATAGATTGTTTTCGTTCCAACTTATAAAACTGAACAACTTATTTATAACGTTAACAAAATAGTCAGTAAAATCAAATCAGAATTTCGACATAATTAGTACACATTCTAAAAATTTTAAAAAAATTAATTTTAATGAAACAAATTTGTTTTCATTTTTAAAAACTGTTTGAAAAAGGTTGTACCCCAAGTAAACAGCACCCCTGTACCTCCACTCAAGTTATTCCCCCGAAAGACTTGTTGTTTTAGCTGGTCCTAAAGTTCAACCTGAAGCTACAACAAACCACCAAAAACAAAAGCTAACCTGTGTAATATTTAATTTAGGTAAGGCTGCCGAAATCTGTCTTAATCCATTGTTGCTCCCTAAGCAAAAACAAACAGAAGGGCAGGGTAAAAACACCGAAATTATATGGGGTAACCTGTTTACTTATGGCAGTCCTGCCCGCCGAGACCCAGAATTCACTTCCTGGCCTGCCAACATCCCCGTGGATTATAAATCAATTTCATGCGCATTAAGTTCCCCCTCGAAAAAACTCCTCCGTTGAAAAAAACACATTTGTTGACATGAATTTTGAACAGAATTTTGGTTTTTGCAGCGGTTATCAGTCGGGATATGCCTGGATGTAGGTATTCTAAAAGGATCTACTTTATTCCATTCATTGCGTAATGCTAGAGAATCGTGGTAGAATTTGGAATTTGAATATCGTTGTAGAATTTCCATCAAAGAAAGTGGAAGTGTGTCGTGTGGCCCACACAAATTAATTAATTCGCCACTTAATATTCATAGTCAGAGTTGCCCTCCAACCACAGACACTTTGACGAGCCATTCCAGGGATATTAATTCATATTTAATAAACAAACACACTCGGTCTCTGCGCAAAGTGTCATAATGCCGCATCGTTGCGATGACAATTTAAAGCCAGAGTCTAATTAATGGATATGGAAGTCGCTCGCACAAAGCGCAGCCAATTTATTAAGCTTGTCTTGTGACTCTAGTCATCGCTTTGGGCTCTTTAGCTAATTGTCGGCCAAGACATTTTGGCAATAATTAAATTAATTGCTGTTTAAAATGCGAAACCAGCCGCCAGCATCATCGATCTATGCCCATAAACCTGGGTGGTTCCAAAATCGAAATTTTGGCCACCCCAACGCCCAAAAAAGTATCAAGTGAAACAACAAAAAATCTCTATTCGCTGTTTTGCCGGCACTGCATCATTATTACACGTAATTAACGCGCTTTGACAGCAATACCAGCAAACAGGCTAAGTGCCACGCCCACCGCCGCAAAACGCCTGCTTTTTTTGGTAGGGGGCTGCAGCTAATTAACAACTCCTGCCACTGTTACACTTGGTTTCGACTTTTAATTAATAGTGCGGGGACTTTGGGGGCACGCACACAAGGCCCAGTGTTGCAAAGAGGCGTTGCAGGCACGTATCTGAGGCACCAGGGGTGTGGGCGGTTGGTTCCGGGGGTGTGGCTTTGGGGGGGGCACTGTGGGTGGTGCGGCAGAGCTGCGGCGGCAAAGTGTCACCCGCCTTCTTTTGCGGGCAGCAGGTGAAACATTTGCCGTGTTTACGGCACGTCATTTGCATAATAGCGCGGAAACCGAAAAGGTCACCATGGAAATTCCAGATGGAACCTCGAAATACCCTGAACATATCAATTTGCATTTTGCAAATGATAAGAGAGGGATAAAAAAAAGTTCACTGATTTTACATCATGGTTTTTGAAGTTCTGAATAACCAGCCTGTTGAAATTACTGTTGAAATTAAATATTATTTGGTAAATAACAACATCTTTTATTAATTAATAGAAGTACACTGATAAAAATTGAGTACTAAAAATATAAATTTGCATATTAAATTTAACATTTTATGTTTTATATCTATAAAATATATAATTTGTAAGTATATGAGCTTGGGTAGAAAATATTAGACACGACATTAGTCTAATAAACTTTAAGGAGTTTACGTTATAAAACAAATTTTTATATTAAAGTCAAGATGTAAAATCTTTAAAATTAAAAACATGGCAAAATATCGTTTACTATATTTTTTATCAGTGTATGCAATTTTAGCTAACTTTAAATAATAAAGAGTAATTTTAAAATGGGCTTCCGATAAGATAACTGAGTTTGTAAGCCTATAGCGGCTAATTAATTGGCTACAATTCAATTGAATACAAAAATGCCACTAATTTTATGCTGTTTATTTTTTAACTGCTAAAATAAATATTTTCCTGCCATTCAGGACATTCCATATTTCTGTTTGATTAATTAATTTAAATTGCAAACATGCTTAACCCCACCATCCCTTTGTGTCAGTTGTGCCTTTTTTCACGTTGTTGAAAAATATGCGCTTAATTAAAAATTGAAATGCATAAAAAAGATGCCTCGAATCGTAGCATAACTGCAGGCGCGGGAAAATTGCTTTTTCACATCATTTGATGGGCAAACAAAAAGCGAGGGAAAAGCCGGGGGAAACTGAAACTGAAAACAGCGAAAAGCCAGAAACAGACAACCTGGTCGGACAAAAGAATTAAAATTAAATGAAAAGTGGAAAATGCGGGCTCGATGGAGGGAAAGAAACAGAATTATGAAACGAGCCACAATTTCGCACTCGTTAGCAGCGATAACAAATCGCCCGATTTGTGTGAATTGTCCAAGTGGTTACGACCTAATCGGATCAACTTTACTTTGGCTTAACGGACCGAACTTTGACCGGGTTTCGGGCCCGTTCGTGCTGAAACTTATTCAACTGCAGTTGCAAAAGTTGGCCAAACAATTTCCAGCGCCTCAACTTGCTCCTTTTATAATTTATATATATAGCATATAGTATATATGCGTTTTCCCACCGTGCATGTGAATAATTTGCCTTGTCCCAAATTGCAGTCCGGACTGGACACCAAAGGTTTAGGGGTTTGGGGTGGGCAAAGCGGTTTGTGGTCAAGTCATTTATGGTCGAGGGCTGGGACTCGGCTGGGAGCGGCTTTTTGGCCCTCCAACAGGTCCTGGCCATTAACTAGTGGCCCGGAATGGGGCTGAATGGCTTTAAGTTCTTCATTTAAATAGGCAAATATTCAGGAAACTCTTTTAAAAGGGCTTTAAATATTTTTAAATGTGAACAAGAGATACAAAACCTTTAAAGGCAATAGAAGAAAATTCTTTTAACATTTATAACAAACTTTTGGAACCGTAGACCTACATATATTATATAGCAAAGACCATCAATTAAAAATGTTAAGTCTTAAAACATACCTCTCATTTATTTATATTCGTTCAGATATCAACCGATCAGGTATTCATTTTGTTAATATTCCGTTGTACTAGATATTTATGTATATGGTCCTGTGCTATCATATAAAAATAATTGACACGAAGATCAAACGTGTTTTGAAATATATTCAATATTTGATTTTCACAATAAAAGTCATTGAATAAGTGTTATTTCTCATTTATAAGAACAAGATTTACTTTAAAAAATAAATCGAAAATAAAATCTTTTGCATATTTTGGATAACTAAACCGAAATAATATATTTCGTGGCCTCCACTTTCATGTAGATCCATTTTGGCCACATGTTTTTTTTCTCCGTTATTCATTCATTATTTTCATAAAAGTTTGTGGTAGGTATAGTTTAAAAAAAAGTAATGTAGTCTTGTTAGTTTCAAATTTTTCATTCCAAACATACATTTACTCAATAGAATAAAGGTATGGATTTAGCAGAATTAATTTATTAGAAAAACTTAACAAGCGTAGTCAAAATCAAATCAATGGGTATTTAATCAGTATACTAAATATAAAATCATGCTATATTGATATTGCAATAATTATTTAGATCATCACTGTTCAAACTTAAATGATTACGTCAAGTAATTAGGTTCATTTAGAGTAGTTACGATAAAAGCAAAGCAAACAATTTGACATTTAAGCAAGCCTAAACTGTGAGATTCTATGAATTCCCTGAACCGATTTTATATTGATTAATTTTAAACGGCCCATGGGGCTGGCGACTGATTGGTCCCCCCTCGCGTAGCGTATTGATTAATGGTGAATTAAGTATTTATGCTAATTGATGTAATGCCAGTAATGTAATAGCTCTGCGGACACAAATTGACTCGTTTCAATTTTTTTACAGGGGCTTCGGGAAGCAAGGATTTCAGTGCCAAGGTAAGGGATACCCTCGATAACTTTGAGAACTTCGACCTGCAAATAATCCTTGCTACTTTCTCCTTTCTCCGCCTGCAGTCTGCTCCTACGTGGTGCACAAGCGGTGCCACGAGTATGTCACCTTCATCTGCCCGGGCAAGGATAAAGGCATCGATTCGGTAAGTGCGCACCAACACATATGCTAAACAGGACAAATATATATATATGGATATATGGATATATATGTGTGTGCAGGATAAGGCACCCGACTGCAGTTCCATGTGCGAGTGGAGGCGGAACGGGGACTTATTTGCATTGCTTTTAGTCTTTGTGGGCTCTGTCAAATTAAACTGTCATTTGGATTTTCGGTTATGCCGGGCTTCGTCCATCCGTCCATCCGTCCGTTCCAAAAGTCCCAGCTGTCATGTCCTCTCGTCCCGACTCGCCTGTCAACTTTGCTTTGCCAGCTAAGCAGACTCGGGCTAAAAATGCGAGTTTTCCTTTGCTGCTGGGTTATGGAAAATGTCATTCGGATTTTTTCGCATACATCAAGCTTTCTAGAGTGTATTTATTCAGGCGAACCGCAACACCCAAAGAAATGACGACTTTTCATATTTTTTTATATACTATAGTATATGATAATCAGTGTTGGGAAGTTCCCAGATACCTAGGTACCATTTTTAGGAAGTAATGCCTTTCCCAACACTAGTAAAAATATTTTTTTAGCCCTATCTCCCAACACTCAGCATTATTTTTCGCTTATGTGATTTTAAAGCAAATATTAAATATATATTTTAAACGTAATTCAACAATCCTTATTAGGGACTTAAATATTCCTTAGATTTTTCTTTCTGTGTTCTGCTGACTGTCCAAAGGAAAATGCTGTGTTGGGGAGACAAGCAAAATATGGCAGAAATATATAGAGAAAAGAGTCTCAGATGGATTGCGTTTTAGGAAAGGACAGCTATAAAATAGAGTAGTTTTTTCCGGGCTTAAATTTCAGTACCCCTCCCCCGCCAAACCACGCACATGGAAAATGTAGGAAAAATATTTTAGCTTAAAAGCAGTTGCAAACTTACACTAAACTTATGTAGAGTTTGTCATTTGTTATGTTTTCAGTGCGAAAGTTAAACGCGAATTTGTTAATTTGTCATTGTGCTCTGTTTATTTACCATGAACAAAATTTGTACTTTGTATTCTTTTCCATGTGTGCATCCACCAAAATCAAACCAAAAACTCAATTCGCTGTCCAACTCACGCTGTCACGAAACCACGCACCAAAAAATAAATAAAAAAACACAACAAAACAAAATGAATTCGCAATCGAAATTGAAATTGAATTGAAAATGTTGCAACCAAAAATAAAAATAATCGAATAAAGGACTCACCAAAAACTCAACACAATTTCGAGCCATTCACATACGCAGGACCCACGTTCTGCGATCATTGTGGTTCCCTGCTGTATGGCATTTACCACCAGGGTCTCAAATGCTCAGGTAACCCCCAACCCCCTAAAGCTAGAACCCTTTTTGTAACCCCGATAAGTGTTTTTCCCCTCCGGCTTCTATCTTCTATCTCTAACCACAAAAGTTTTTCGCTTCTCTCTTTCACTTAACTTTTAATCCTTTTCCGAAATACCGAAAAACCCGAAAAAAACCCCGACTGACTGTGTAAACAATGATGATAATGTGTGTGTGTGTGTATCTGTGTCTGTGTCGGAATTAAATTTTAAACGCAATTTGACCTGGTCAACAACATGGGAAAGTTTCTTTGGCAGGCCCTAAAAGTTAATTATTTAAATTGTTTAACCTACAAACATACAGATAGGTAGCTATATATATGTGTAAGCAGGCCGCACCTTTGTAAATATGTCGATACACCCGGGCAAAGGCTTCCTTTTCCGTATATGTATGTATTGCTTTGCTTGCTCTTCACTTTCCCGTACCGAACCGCACCGAAAGTTTTCTCTGTGTGCCACGTGTAACCCACTTTTCCACCCACTTTTCCGCCCACCTTCCCCCTCCCTTTTTCCTACCAATTCATTTGCATAATTATGCACATGCCAGGGATACTCCGAGGATTCCAGTGGATGCGGAATGGGCCCAACTTAGTTGCCAAACAATGCTCGTCATTTGTTTAGACATTTTTGTGCAGCTGGCCTGTGATATAAATATAATTTTAATGTCTTTTGGGCCCACTAACAAATTGTGGAAGTGCCACAGATAAAAAGTTTTGCAGGTCGGCCCTGCCTCGAGGTTGCAACAACTGTGGCATGTGCTCTGAATTCTTTATCCCTACACATTTTTTCTAACTTTATTGTGTGTATATTGTATCCCTCAAAGCATTTTTGATAAAATTACAACTATTACGAAGGTAAATATAGATATCAGGATAGAACGAAATAATTGTTAGCTTGTTAAATTAATTTTTTATGTTATAAAAGTATAGAAAATTACACTGAAATAAATTTTATATTTTATAAATTACTTTCTTATGTTTTCAAAATAGGAATATTTATTGGCTATTATTTTGATCCTCTATACCAAAGATAAATGATAATATTGTAGAGTTGTCTATACAGTTTAAAGATTGGCTATGTATACGACTTTTTTAGTAAGATAGTTTAATTTCAAAATTTGAAAATATTAAATATATCTATTATAGTAATTTTGGGGATTTTAAGCTTTTATTTAAAAATTAAACAATTTTTTTAATAAAGTAAAATGTTTAAAGTAAATATCACTAAAATTGTATATACAATTTTTTAACTTGATTTTTAAATTTAATTTTAAAATAAAATAGTTTGTTTAGTAAAGTAAAATCTTAAGAGTAAACATGACTTACATCCTTTTAAATATTTTTTACCCGGATTTTTAAATTAAACCGTGATATGTATTAAATATTATTTGTTAACTTAACCAAAATATTTGTTTTCCATTTTTGCCAGTGTATCCCTTTATTAAATACACCTTAAATGTTTTATGTAATCAACGGTTACCCCTTGAGTAGTTTGATAAGTATTGTTTCGACTGCCTTTATGCGGAAACTGTAACTACCGTAGGCCATCTTCCATGTGGCTTGTCAGTGGATCTGGCAATTAATTCACAGCCATGGCAACTGGCCTAATTAGAACGAGTCACAAGTAAACACCTGATGCAGAGCCAATAAAAGAGCATTCTGCGAATTGGAAAATCAAATGTCAATTCCAAGTGTGCCGTCAAGTGCGAAGCCATGGCCATGGCAACCCCTGGAAAATGCTTTTCCCACCCCCTTACCAATTGTGGCTTTTCCTCTAGACACCCTCCCCCCCCCCCCCTGTGTGTGTGTGTGTGTGTGTGTGTGTGTGTGAAATACAATCTGGCCTAATAACCTTACATGTTGCCTTTGTCAGTTCCTTTCGCTCTTTATTGCATCAAATCGGATCAAATCTATTGCGACAGGTGTAGGCAAATCAATTTTTGCCAAAGCTTAGCTCTTCACACCTGAGCAGAATCGTTTGGGTTTGCTCGAAATTTGATGGTAATTCGTACTTCAAGCGGAAATTGAAAACAAATGCAGTTAGGCTCATAAAATGCCATCATATGGCCGTCGGATCCCCAGCGATATGACCACGTTTAGGAACCCCTGCCCATCTGTTCTTATCTACGTTGTCTGAATAAATGACATGGCAATTTATATTTGCCAACGTTCTCCACCACCCCATTTGTTATCGGGCATCAGTTGTTAATATGCTGGCAGTTATAGTATGTATGCTGGCGTTTTATATACCAAAAATTACATTCAATGGAGTAATGGGAGCCGTCATACCATCCCACCTAGCTAGATGATGATGATAGCGATATGGAAAAGTGGAGCGAAGCGATTTTTACGATGGTGGGGCACAAATTTGTTAGGTGACAGCGAGCGACGCAAGGAATGCTGTGATAAATTTTCGCTGCAAATATTTTTTACAAATTTCTGCGCTGGCACGTGGCAAATAAGTAGGCGTCAAATGGGGGCGTGTTAGCCAAATGAAATTCTATCTGCGTTTAGGCGAGTGTGTGTGAGTGTGCGGGGGCAAAAAGATTTATTGGGAAATGTCTGGCACAGGGTGTTTGTTTACGATGCTTTCATGTGGTGAGGCTGATACTGTGATGTAATGATAAGAACGAAGCACATTTTATACAGTCAAGCTTCAGTGGCTGGAACTTTTATGTTGGGGCTTAGTAAATTGGTTTGGTACATACATATTTCATTTAAATTGGGTCACGAGTGCCTTTTTAAACAAATATAAGATTAGGGACTGTAATCAATATAAGAGATACTGAGAGAGATTTTATGTTTTATTATTTTCTGTTTACATACTATCAATATTTTTCAGTTTTATAACGATTTATCAGGAGTAATCATTATTTGTAAGTGAATATATGTATCGCTCAGAACTAATTATTATAATGAGATTATATAATAATATAATGATGATATCACTCAAGTTGGTATTGAATGCCCGAAAAATATCATAAAATCATGATAATTGCTGATTTGAAAGGATTATCTTAGTACCAACCAACTGGTATTATCATTTATTTGAAGTTTTTAGATTCTAAAATCAAACATACTGGTTATTTTTGATCCCTGGGTAAAAGTTTTCTTATCACCAAACAAGAATATATGAATAGACATATTAAATCTATATTATTTGATTTCATTTTTGTTATTAAAGTTTCAAGCTACATAAAAAATTGAAAAGCCCATCCTGAGATCTATTGAGGTTCCACTGTGCACCCGAAATTCCGCAATGTCGAGGGCCTCGGGACTCAATTCGAGTTTCGGCACCTGTGGCTATCCAGGGTCCCTCAAAGACGAGTCCAATTGGAGGCCGCGTACACACACGTGTTTACCCTCAATGCGATTGCATTTAATCCAAACAAATCCGCCCACCAACGCCCACCCACGCGGCCTTGAGCATGCCCGCCAAAGTATGCAACAACTTTTTTCGTTGCTGCCAAGGACGTTCGTGGGTGTGTATGTGTGACTGTCTGAGTGTGCGAGTGTGTTTGCTTTTCGCTGGTGTTTGTCTTTTGGTAGCAAAAGGATATTAATGGCTGAGCAGCTGTTGAACCTTGGCGGAGACAAACAACAAATGGCTGGGGCCCCCAAAAAAATAGGATGAAAGAGGAAGGACTACGAGTATATATAGGGGAACTACTCAGTGGATGCTCATGCTGGCGCATAATGCTATCAAGTGTCCTCGCCTGGGGCACCACCCACATCCCATCCACCCACCACAAACTGACACAACAATCGAGGGCGGAATGTTCAACCCACCCACCCACGAAAAAGAAATAACCTTAAAGTTTGCACCCAATGTCACGTGTGAGAAAGAATTTTGTTTGTGTGAGTGTGAGAGCTCCTTGAAAAGGATTAGGCAGCATTTGTCTTTGTGTGCAACCTTCGCTTATGTTCTACTGTATAATAAATATATATATTTTTGTGTATATACCCACTCATCACACTGCCACAATAAACCCGCCCACATTTTCATTTGATTCCGCTGTTTGTGACATGTGACGGCCAACTTGCAACTCAATTAACGTCGCGTTTATTTCATTAGCACGAAAGCAAAACTGCAGAAGTGGAAGGCATCTGCAACAAAAACCCCCGAAGAGGGTGGCATTTTGGATGTAAACAGCTATTGAAAACGTTTCTGGAAGTCATTAAATTTTGCGATTTAAGCTACTATTTTTAGGAGGTTCTGTTTCGAAATTTTATTCTATTCCATCCATGCTAAAAAACCTTTTCATGAACATATTAAATCTAATATTTAATAATATGAAAATACGTTTCTCACATAAAAAATCTTCTCAAAAATATAGGTATATGTATATTTTTTGTATTAAAATATAACATATATCAAAAATCCTTCCAAAAATCCAAATATTACTTACCCAAACTAAAAATATTAAAGAACCAAAAATAAAATATATTGGACCGTTGACTATAATTCCTTATAATTTAAGCCATACCTTAACAAATCTTTATTTAATTCAAACATAAGATTCTCAACTATGTGAATAGTTAACACCATTAAATCATTTTCAGTAGCATCAGCCTTTTGTTGCCCATTTCGTGCGTCCTTAATGTCAAGTTCCTTTGTAGTCCTTTGTGTTAATTTGCAATTGCACCTATGTACATAGCTATTACGAACACCTATTCCCATGCCCTGCGTTAATTTTCCATTAGTTTTCTCTTCCAATTCGAATTCCAAACCGAAATCGAAATCGGGCAGGCGCATCAAATGCCCCACAAATGGCAGAATGTCACCTTCCTGTCGCCGACGTTCTGTGACCATTGTGGGTCTCTTTTGCACGGCATCACGCACAAGGGTCTCAAGTGTCGAGGTAAAGTCCCCAGAAGTCCCCCCCCTATATACATAGTATAGCCCCCAACTTGTCGCCGAAAGTGTCCCAACTCATTTGCATTTTTGGTGGCGTTGCCGCAGAGTTTTTAGATTGTTGCAATTTACAATTAGCAGCGCTTTGTTTTCCGCTCAAGTGTGCACTTGTCTCTGTGTTTGTGTTTGCCAGGGTGTGTGTGTATATCTGTGTGTGTATGTGGGTGGATGAGTGTTGTGCACACTTGGGCGAATTGTTTGTTGTTGCTTTTGTCACTGCCGCTGACAAGTTTTCCGCCAGCTTTTCCTTTTCGCTTTTCCCGCTGCCTGCAGTTGCTTTTTCTTTATTTTCCTTTCATTTTTCGTTGACATTCTTATAAACTTGTTAATTTCCACGTTATTGCAAGTGCATGTCAAGTTTGCCAAGGCACTTAATAAATGTTCACTAATTTTAAAGGGTATATTTACGGACGTACGGATTTGTAGATCCCATGTTTAGCGTAGAAATTTACGCGTCATTTGGCGTTATTAAGGTATATGTGGCATGGGTATATTTGGCCATTTTTGGCCCACAAATAAATTAATTACGCGCCATTGACCCAAACAAATACACACAAAGACCACCTGGCCCGAAGCAAATGCAAATGTGTGGGTACCCAAGGCGGAAGTCCCTGGAAGGTGAGCCTCTCATTGTTGTTTACGATTGTATTATTCCGGCTCCCCGAAATAGTGTCATTACGTATTCTTAATATATTGTATGGAATATTCCGAAAATTCAAGTTACAAAATTTATTCATTCATATTTTACCAATTTAATAAAATATTAGGTCTGAAAATATTCTCGTTAAGGTTTAATATATATTCTGAGAGTATTTCATAGAAATAATCAGAATCAAAAAAGGATATTTTATAAGCTACATAAACCTGATTCTTATAAAAGGCAATGAGAAATACTAATATTATATTTGTTCCATCAGAAAGAGTAATATTTTGATCCATAGTTATCGTTTTAACTAAGGGGCGCATATCAAGACTTTAAGAAAGTTAATTGGCTTGTGCGATCTTCAAACACTTTTAACTCATCAAGATACTTTTTTTTCTTCTTTTAATAGTTGATTTAATGACAGTTATTATGGCGACTGCAGTTTTAAAAGAAAGAGTCATATTATATAAAAATAAAAAAACCAACTATGTTAATCCAAACCTTGACCAAAGCTTTTAGCTAATAAAGACCTTGACAAATGAATTTTCCGTTACCCACTATAAAAGCTCCTTGAAAAGTTTACTGGGGTTTACTTAACCATTCACCATAAGGATGATCAGCTACATAAAGGTCCTTCTGTTGGCGGCTCTTCTGATCATCAACATAGATTTTGGCTGGTCTCAGTATCCTCCCTATAGGAGTCAGTAAAGCGACAGTAAAAAGTGGATTGCTACTAGGTGTTCTAAATTTTCCAGTATGCTACAATTTGAAAGGATACTGTGGATCAACTCGCGCCCGTTGCAAGGAGATAGGAACTCGTGAGGAATGTAGGCCAAGGGAAAAGTGCTGTCTGAAGTAGTTCCTCCAGTTCGTACTACGATTTGGCCAAGATGCTGCCCTCTTCATCTTTTAATTAAAATAAAAAAGCTTACTTGTAAGGCCCTTTAAGTTAACGAATATTTTTCCCAAAACTTTTTATGTCAGGATAAGATTAGTTACCCCTTTAAGGTCTGTATTTGACAATTTTGCTGTCAATTTCTTAATAAAGTTTTAATACAGTGGCCCACCAAAACCACATACCAATGAATTTGAGCTAATGAAAAAATGCTGATGGTCCAAAGAAAATACACAAATTTGCCCTAAAAGGTTACTTCTTAATTTATTGTACAAATACAAAAATATTTATGTTACTGTTATTTATTTTTTATGTTTTTTTTTAGCTATAACTAAATAAAACTGTTGTGGTGTAACAGAGTTTTTATCCTTAAGAGTATGTATAGGCGGTTAATCATTTTCTTAAAATTAAATATTTTTTGTAATCCATATCCGAATACCTAGTACCAAGATCAATAATAAGCAATAACACCTCTTAAAGAGGTAAAAAACTAGTGACGATCGCACTTTCAACATTCAAAAGTTCTGAAGTCAACTTTTGTGAGATTTTTTCCTGTGTAATTTGGCACGAGCATATAATACAGAAATTAAAGAAACAATTATGTTAATCCAAACCTTGTCCAAAGCTTTAGCTAATAAATACCTTGGCAAATTAATTTTCTATATCACCTGCTATAAAAGCCCCTTGAAAAGTTAAACTAGGCTTACTTTCCATTCACCACAAGGATGATCAGCTACTTGAAGGTCTTTCTGTTGGCAGCCCTTCTGATCCTCAACATAGATTCTGGCTGGTCTCAGTTTAGAAGTCAGTACGGCGACAGCCATGTGTGAACGTGCTAAAACGTATTCTACATTTTTCAGAATGCGCCATGGGGCGGGGATACTGTGCATCAGTTCGCGCCCGTTGCAAGGAGATAGGAAATCGTGCGGAATGTAGGCCGAAGGAAAAGTGCTGCCAGAGGTAGTTCCTCCAGTTCGTACTACGTTTTGACCAAGATGATGCCTTCTTCCTCTCCTATTTAAAATAAAAAGCTTACTTAAAGGGAATTTTCTGTTAACAGATTTTCTTCCCAAAACTTCCTATGTCAGGATAAGATAAGTTACCCTTTAAAGTCTGCATTTGACAATTTTGCTGTCAATTTTTTAGTAAAGATTTTATACAGTGGCCCACCAAAAGCACATACCAATGAATTTGACTTAAAGAAAAAATGCTGATGGTCCATAGAAAAGTACACAAATGTGCCCTAAAAGGTTAGTTCTTACTTTATTGAACAAATACAAAAATATTTATTTTACTGTTGTGGTGTAAGAGTATGTATAGGCGTTTAATCATTTTCTTAAAATAAAATATTTTTTGTATTCAATATCTATTGATAACAAACAAAAACACCTCTTAAAGAGGTAAAAAACTAGTGACGATCGCACCTTCAACATACAAATGTTCTGATGTCAATTTTTGTATAATTTTTTTCTGTGTAATTTGGCACGAGCATATAATACAGAAATTAAAAATCAATTATTATAATCCAAACCTTGCCCAAAGCTAATAAATATCTTGGCAAATGAATTTTCTATACCACCTGTACAAAAATAAAGATATTGTACTTATTTCGTCACTACGTGGACTAACGTCCACAATGATTACGTGTATATCACTAATATTAAAAACTTCCTTGGACCAAAGTGATTTTCTTAACCCAGACTAATCCATTTAGAATAGGTGTTAATATAAAAGCCACCATGGGAAATCTTATTGAACTAGTTAACGACAATGTCCAGATTCTTTTGGGTCTTTCTGCTGGCAGTTCTTCTGACGCCGAACGCTAGTCCTAGAAGGCACCGGCCAAAAAGGAGTCTTACTGCACGTTCGTATATTTTCTATCTTATTAAATACTAGCCATCACTGACATAGTCCAATCCGTGCTTCAGGATGTGGATCAGGATGGTGTTTGCCTGTGACTTACCACTGCCACCGTATAGACAATAAATGTTGGGACCCGAGGACAAAGTGTTGCTTATGGAGCGAAAAAGAGTGGAATAAAATTCCGTAGGCTCTTTTTGTTCCAATGAAGGATCCTCGCAACTCCATCGGGATCAAAGCCCCTCCCTTCACCATCTAGGTGAAAAAATGATACAAAATGTCTTAAGAACACTGAAAATAATAATGTCTTCCGAAATCCTGTAATTTTCTTAAAGGGATATATACGTAACGAGGTAAAAATCTAGTGAAGATCGCATCTTCAGCAAACAAAAGTTCTGATATCCACTTTTGTGACGAAAATTTATTATACAATCTATTATACAAATACAATTTCTTAATTTTTTTAACATTCGCCACGCTTTATCAAAGTAGTACAGCTAAACCCAAGCACATTGAATAGCAGCGTGCCGAATGTAAAAATATTTGGTAATTGTATTTATTTCGTCACTACGTGGACTGCCGTTCACACTGATTTTTAACCCAGACTAATCTATTTAGAATAGGTGTTAATATAAAAGCCACTATGGGAAATCTTACTGAACTAGTTAACGACAATGTCCAGGTTCTTTTGGGTGTTTCTGCTGGCAGTTCTTCTGACGCCGATCGCTAGTCCTCACAGAAGGCAAAGAAGGAGTCTTGCTGCACGTTCGTATATAATCTATCTTATAAAATGCTAGCCATCACTGACATAGTCCTATCCGTACTTCAGGATGTGGATCAGGATGGTGTCGGCCTCTGACTGTCCACTGCCATGTTATAAACTATAAATGTGTGGACCCGTTGACAAAGTGTTGCTTATGGAGCCAAAAAGAGTGGAATACTAAATGGCCGCATGCTCTTGAATGAAGGATCCTCCAGGGTAATTCGGGTTGAGGATGGCTAATAACTAGGACTACAACTTTTCAAAATATGTTTGATTAATGTTTAAATCTAAATGAACTATATTTAATGTTCCTGGATGTCATCCAATCCATTTGTTTTTGTGGAGTGAAAAAGAGTGGAATAAAATTCCGTAGGCTCTTTTTGTTCCAATGAAGGATCCTCGCTACTCCATCGGGATCAAAGCCCTTCCTTTCACCATCTAGGTGAAACAAATGATACAAGATGTCTTAAAAACCCTGAAAATAAAAATGTTTTCCGAAATCCTGTAATTTTTTTAAAGAGATATATAGACAAAATGGATTATATATATATATATATATATATACGTAACGAGGTAAAAATCTTGTGACGATCGCACCTTCAGCAAAAAAAAGTTCTGATATCCACTTTTGTGACGAAAATATATTATACAATCTATTATACAACTACAATTTCTTAATTTTTTTAACATTCGCCACGCTTTATCAAAGTCGTACATCTAAACCCAAGCACATTGAATAGCAGCGTGCCGAATGTAAAAATATTAGGTAATTGTATTTATTTCGTCACTACGTGGACTGCCGTTCACACTGATTTTTAACCCAGACTAATCCATTTAGAGTAGGTCTTAATATAAAAGCCACCATGGGAGATCTTATTGAACTAGTTAACGACAATGTCCATGTTCTTTTGGGTGTTTCTGCTGGCAGTTCTTCTGACGCCGATCGCTAGTCCTCAGAGAAGGCAAAGAAGCAGTCTTACTGCAAGTTCGTATAATATCTATCTTATTAAATGCTAGCCATCACTGACATAGTCCTATCCGTACTTCAGGATGTGGATCAGGATGGTGTCGGCCTCTGACGGTCCACTGCCGCGTTATAAACTATAAATGTGCGGACCCGTTAACAAAGTGTTGCCAATGGAGCCAAAAAGAGTTGAAAAGTAAATATCCGCATGCTCTTGAATGAAGGAGCCTCCAGGGTAATTCGGGTTGAGGATGGCTAACAACTAGGACTACAACTTTTCAAAATGTGTTTGATTAATGTTTAAATCTAAATAAACTATATTTAATGTTCCTGGATGCCATCCAATCCATTTGTTTTTGTGGCGGACTCACGGGGCCTTATATGTTGCCTATGGAGTGAAAAAGAGTGGAATAAAATTCCGTAGGCTCTTTTTGTTCCAATGAAGGATCCTCGCTACTCCATCGGGATCAAAGCCCTTCCTTTCACCATCTAGGTGAAACAAATGATACAAGATGTCTTAAAATCCCTGAAAATAAAAATGTTTTCCGAAATCCTGTAATTTTTTTAAAGAGATATTAAATGCTAGCCATCACTGACGTCCTATCCGTACTTCAGGATGTGGATCAGGATGGTGTCGGCCTCTGACTGTCCACTGCCACGTTATAAACTATAAATGTGCGGACCCGTTAACAAAGTGTTGCCAATGGAGCCAAAAAGAGTTGAAAAGTAAATATCCGCATGCTCTTGAATGAAGGAGCCTCCAGGGTAATTCGGGTTGAGGATGGCTAACAACTAGGACTACAACTTTTCAAAATGTGTTTGATTAATGTTTAAATCTAAATAAACTATATTTAATGTTCCTGGATGCCATCCAATCCATTTGTTTTTGTGGCGGACTCACGGGGCCTTATATGTTGCCTATGGAGTGAAAAAGAGTGGAATAAAATTCCGTAGGCTCTTTTTGTTCCAATGAAGGATCCTCGCTACTCCATCGGGATCAAAGCCCTTCCTTTCACCATCTAGGTGAAACAAATGATACAAGATGTCTTAAAATCCCTGAAAATAAAAATGTTTTCCGAAATCCTGTAATTTTTTTAAAGAGATATATAGACAAAATGGATTATATATATATATATATATATACGTAACGAGGTAAAAATCTTGTGACGATCGCACCTTCAGCAAAAAAAAGTTCTGATATCCACTTTTGTGACGAAAATATATTATACAATCTATTATACACCTACAATTTCTTAATTTTTTTAACATTCGCCACGCTTTATCAAAGTCGTACATCTAAACCCAAGCACATTGAATAGCAGCGTGCCGAATGTAAAAATATTAGGTAATTGTATTTATTTCGTCACTTTGTGGACTGCCGTTTACACTGATTTTTAACCCAGACTAATCCATTTAGAATAGGTGTTAATATAAAAGCCACTATGGGAAATCTTACTGAACTAGTTAACGACAATGTCCAGGTTCTTTTGGGTCTTTCTGCTGGCAGTTCTTCTGACGCCGATCGCTAGTCCTCAGAGAAGGCAAAGAAGCAGTCTTACTGCAAGTTCGTATAATATCTATCTTATTAAATGCTAGCCATCACTGACATAGTCCTATCCGTACTTCAGGATGTGGATCAGGATGGTGTCGGCCTCTGACTGTCCACTGCCACGTTATAAACTATAAATGTGCGGACCCGTTAACAAAGTGTTGCCAATGGAGCCAAAAAGAGTTGAAAAGTAAATATCCGCATGCTCTCGAATGAAGGATCCTCCAGGGTAATTCGGGTTGAGGATGGCTAATAACTAGGACTAAAACTTTTCAAAATAGGTTTGATTAATGTTTAAATCTAAATAAACTATATTTAATGTTCCTGGATGCCATCCAATCCATTTGTTTTTGTGGCGGACTCACGGGGCCTTATATGTTTAAAAAGCCATTACTTAAGCCTTCTGACATTAACAATATTCTTGATGAACTTTAACATCTACGGTCAATGTGTTTTGCTATGCTATTGAAATTGGGCCGGAAAGGTTTTAAGTAACGCGCAAAATGGATTAGACTGGGCCTTAATGCCACATTCATTTCCTGTTTTGAAATCCACAGCTACCCAGACTAATTAATTAAGCTAAGCTCTGTATATATAGCCCATCGGAAAGTTTGAATCTTGTAGTTTTTAGCTATGGTTCGATTCTTAAGGGTCTTTTTCCTGGCAGCACTTCTGGCTGCGATGTTCAACACTGCATATGGGTATCGGCGAAAAAGAAATGTAGGCGAACGTACGTGAACGATACCTTCCTATATATATATGAACATAAATGGACTTATTAATAATTTAGGATGCGGAGCAGGATGGTGTGTATTAAGGACTCATTCATGTCGACCGATTAACTCGTTGTGTTCCACTTATCGTGAAAAATGTTGCAGATTTCCTGGATGGCGTTGATCTGAAAGATAATGATGTGTGTGGAAAAGGACGGCGTGTAACTAGATCAACACTTGCCACAATGTATTTGATTGTTCTTAAAATTTAAATGAAAGTGATTAAACATTTCCTAGACCATGGGACTGAAAAAATATATGCACTTCAATAAAAATTTGATTCATAAACACAAAATTGAGACCGCCACAGCCTTTTAATATTTGTAAGCGTTAGATTTCAAAGATCTCTACGTTCATACAGTCAGACAGTTGTGATCCTGAACAAAAATATATATACATTACAAACGTTCCCTTACATACATTTCAACGAACACAACGGGTATATACATTTTACTTTATTGTTCAATGTTTAAGAGCATCACTGCAAGGTTTGGGACGACCAATAAAAATGTGGCCATGGAAAAACATATATTAACTTTGAAGCCAAGCTTTAAGCCAATTTGAGCAAAAGAAAATGCAATTGTCCCGGCACTGAGTGTAAAAGAACCTCAAACAAGTCAGTCAGTTAAAGCTCTTGGGCAAATTAAACGAAGATGATCCAAAATGAAGATCCTAGCTATAGAAATGTTTATAAAAAGTATAAAAAGATAGAATGGGAAAGATACATATATAGTATTTTGGGTCAAAAAGGCCTAGGATTGATACAGATGGTTTTAGGTGATCTGATAAATGGATTAGCCCGGGTTTTCATTTCAACCGCTTTTAAGAACTACAGCTAAAGCATTTCAGTCCCAGACTAATCAATTAAGCTTAGCTCTTAATATATAAACGACAGGAAAAGTCGAATTGAAGTAGTTACAATCATGATCAGCTTCTCTTGGGTCCTTCTGCTGGCAGCTCTCCTGGCTGCTATCTTTTATCCTTCGTTTGGGGATCGACAAAGGAGGACAATTGGTGCACGTACGTACATCCATTCTGGTTTTTCTATACCTCACCCCCAACTGACATTGTTCTATCAATGAATTAGGATGCGGACAAGGATGGTGTGTTACTAGGACTAACCCTTGTAATAATACATTTGATTATTGTTCAAACCGTAATGAAAAATGTTGCCTATTCCCGGGATGGACCACCTTCCAGGGTAGTTAGGGTTAAGGATGGCTTATAACTAGGACTAAAACATGTCAAAATATGTTTGATTAATGCTTAAACCGAAATATATAATATGTCATGTTCCTGGATGCCAATCCAATCCATTTGTTTTTGAGGCGGACTCACGGGGGCTTACATGTTCAAAAGGCCATTACTTAAGCCTTCTGAATTACAGTTCTCTGGATCCTTAATATTATTCTCGATTAGTTACAACATCAGAAAGGTTTTAAGTAGTGCGCAAAATGGACTAGAGTGGGTCTTAGTGCCACATTAAATTTTCTCTTGTAAAATTCACAGCTACCCAGATTAATCGATTTAGCTTAGTTCTTAATATATATCCCATTGGAGAGTCTGCATCTTTTAGTTACAACTATGGTCCACTTCTTATGGGTTTTAATAGAAAAGAAGGCCATATGGTAATTAACCATCGAAGGGTGTATTGTAATTCATCAGTTTGTAAAATTTCGGACCAATCGAAAATGGTAGTATTTTTAGAATTTCGGGATGATATTTTTAATACTCTTATAATACCTACAGACTGAATCTATCTTGTTCTGAAAGGAAAACTTCATTACTCGTAATCATTTCCAGTCTTTTCTGCGATAACAACCTGCCTCAAGTTGTCAGCTTTAATTTTATAATTACACGGTCAAAATGAATTGTTCATGCTACCAAGTATTTAACTCTTAAGAAGAAGCACTTAAACAACTAGAAGTATTGAACGAAGATGGTCAGCAGCTTGAGAGTAATTTTGGTGGCAGCCTTATTGTGTGTGATTTTTAGTACCAGCGATGGGAAGCGTAAGCTCTTACACTTTAATATTGGGATCTTGCAATATAATCAATTTACGTTTTAGGATGCGGAGGAGAAGGATATTGTGTCCCACAATACTGGGTATGTCAGGTGATAGATGGTTTCTGCAGCCTAATTGAAAAATGCTGCAGAAAACCCAGATCAGGGTGGAAAAACTTAGGAGACAGTGGGTGGAGACAGTTAGGATGAGGAGAGGTTTCGCCCCAAGCCGAATAGTTCCCCCACCAAAACTAAGTTACATTACAAGCGTATAAAAAATGTCATCGACATGTAATATTGTTTACTTTTCATATAACGAAATATATCAGGAGGGGAAAGTCAATATTTTCAATAACACGATTAAATTATTTGTTCCATTTATAAATCGATTAATTTTAAAACATCTACCTAGTTCGTACGAAGTGGGATTTCTTATTATCATTCTATAAAAAAAAAAAAATAGGTTAGCCACATCACCATTAAGGTAAATGTTTTAAAAATAATCGATTTATAGAAAATAAATTTTGTGAAATCAGTAATTCCATGGTAGTCCGAGGCAATTGAAATTATTATGCCCCAACTTATTTAAGCTTCTTAAGATAACAAAATGCACTCATTTCAACCGTTGGATTAGATGAGGATGGTTATCTTTTCAAAGACCTTTCCTTTGGTATCTTTGCTGTCCATGATATGTTATTCCAGCGCAAATCACTACGGTGAGTGTATATCTTTTCATATAAGAATCCAGCTCAAAAAGTGTTTTTAAATTCTATAGCGCCTTGTACGTCAGCTGGACGCTGCTATACCGTCAACAGACCTTTCGGACATTTTCAACAGACAAGGTGTGTTCCCTGCGCAATGCACGAATGAGTTAATAATATTATTACGCTTTTTAGTTTAAATGTAAACATTTAAATAAAATTTAACAAAAAAAAGAAGCCATAAATGTGTACCACATTTTATGTGACACCAATATCAGCGACCTTAAATTTTAAGAATCACCTACGATCCCAAATATTATGCCTTAAGAGCGTTGAAGGGTTTCTAACTTCCAAAAAAGGCCAATATTATATAGATTTAGATCCATAATTTCAGTTTTTTGTTATTGGTAGTATTTGAAAACAGGTTTCCGTAGACAATGGTATACAAAGTTTCTTGTTGGATTGATCCGCATGATAATTGTTGGAAAAATAATCACGTCACACATTTTTATTTACAAAATTTCGTTATGCATTTTAAAGCAAAGCCATTTTACAAGCTTCTCAATTTATCATAACAGTTATTTGTCTGAGCTAAAATGGTGAGGTATTTGATATTTCTTACGATGCAAGTCCTGGTCGGCTTCCTTGGTATTTGTTCTGCCTATCACTACAAACGTTAGTACCTTTCTTATAACGTAAAACACAATCAAAAATTGTTGAAAACCTAAGGATGTGGAGCTGGACTTTGCGTGCCATCGGATATCAAATGTAGTTCTCCAAGATCCTCGATTTTCTGTACTAAACTACAAAAATGTTGCTTTCTGGGAGTATCAAAAAGGTCCGGAAGGAAGGGAAAGCACTGAACTTTCGTCTTTTTCTTTACTACTTTGTAGACGTATCAGCTAAACGTTAACCAACTGAAACGAAACAATTTTAAATGGCATAATTTAAATATACAAAATTCAAGTACGTCTTGAAATCAGTTTCATTTACCAAAATGTCAATTCACTTGAGTTTTCTCCTGATCTTAGCTATTTTAGTTATAATAAACATTGTGGAATCTTTTCGCTTAAAACGTTTGTATATTGTCCTTATTATCAATTGTCTTGCTAATTAATATATTTTAAAGGCTGTGACGATGGACTCTGTTTGCCAAAATACGTTTCTTGCAAAAAAAAGGTTAAAACGGAAACAGAAATTTGTAAGAAAAATGAGAGATGCTGTAACAACACATAAACATATAAGCCGAGCATCGTGACTCATTAAAAATCACAATCATACAAAAAAGTATTCCCTTCAGAGAACATGCGCTGAATTTTTTTTAAATATAAATTATACCTATCTTTTATATAAGACTATTATTTTGATTCTCCCGAAAATAAAACAGTTTTATACTTAACAACAGAAAGGTCATTATAAGAAATATATATCCCTTATTGACATCCGAAGATACAAAAATTATATCTCCATGCATAACACATTTAAATAAGAAGAGACATTTTTGTTTAAAATAATTTAAATTTTTTGTAATTTTACCAAGTACCAAAGAGTAGAAGTAACTACTGAATTAGAATTATGAAATTTTAGAATGAGACACATTTTTGTAATTTAAATAAAGAATACATGGAACATGACCGATGGCAAAGTTCTAAGGTTGTTTTACAAAAAATTGCTAAGTTCAGATGCAAAAATATTTGAAATTCGGCATGTAAAACTTTTAACTGATCCACAAACTGCCCACAAAAATACACTTGATGTAGACGAAAATAGTATATGCAAACAGACGGGGGAACTCAAATACATATGAGTGCAAGGATACAACCCGAAATGGCGCCCACATTATGAATACACACTCACAACTGAATGTTTTTTTGCCATGTCAAAGGAAACCCTTTTTTTTGCCTTTGTGTATATATTTTTGCACATTCTGTGCTGACCAACATGCCACAGGGCCGCCCCGCAAAACGTATCTTAAATATCACGCATACGCAGGGGGAGCCGGACATTACGTATACGCAACGTTCGCTCGAAAGAAATTAAGACCTTGCCAAGGGTGGCGGTTGGGAACCGAAAGTAATTTTACACTTCACCAAAGCGGAATGTTGCCAGCAGAAAAGAGCCCCAAAAGGAAAAGTCGTGGAAAGCGGATATGTGAGAGGAAACTGAGGCAATCGGCAAAAACAGGATGACGCCCATTGATGCCCCATGATGGCCGATGATGATGGCAAAGTGCTTTAATTGAAAACAAAACGTATTTCATGAAAATGAATAGCAATTCGATTTTAGCGAATAATTTCCAATCGTACGCTTGCCACTTGTCAGAGCCAGAAGAAGCAACAGTTTGTCAATTTCCGTTGGCAGTGAAATGGGAGAAAACAAGTCCCCGAAGAGGGGCAGATGGGTGGAAAATTGGCTTGGGTTCTTTTTTACTGATTGCTTTTGCCAGAGGGCAGATTTATCGGCTGAATATCCACAGGTAAACTTTAGTTTCAACGGCGTGCAAGGTAAGTACCCCACTTAGTTGTGTGTGCGAGACTGTACTTTTGTGCGTGAGAGTGTGCGTGTGTGTATGCTTTGTTCCACTTCAACATCCAACTCATGCCTTCTATCAATCCCACTAACCAAACTCTATTAGCAAGCCCTTACTCCTTTGCCTTTTAACTATCCCGGGACAGAGAAATAAAGATTTTAAAAACTTTTCCAATCCCCTCAGCATGTGACATGAACGTGCATGCCCGCTGCAAGGAGAACGTGCCCAGTCTTTGCGGATGCGATCACACCGAGCGGCGGGGTCGCATTTATCTGGAGATCAATGTCAAGGAGAATCTGCTAACTGTCCAGAGTAAGTGGCCCCCAAAGCCAGGGGTATACAAATTTAAGCCGCTTAAGCATTGTTACCAATTATGGCCCAATGGCCTAAGTTTTTTATTTTGTTTGTGCGCCTGCTTTGAGGCAAAAGTGGGCAAAAAGTTTACAGAATATATGTAAGGGCAAGTGGAAAAAAAATAAAAAATTATGCCCCGGGAAACCTCAAAGTTTCCCAAGCAACGCGCTTAAAATGTTACATCTTCTCCACAGTCTTTGCGCCTTTGTATTGTTCGGTTGCTCTGCGTTCCGTTTCGTTTCGTTTCCTGTTGGGGGAAAGCTTTGCGGCCGAAAGTTGCAGGTCCTTTGGGCTCCTGGGAAAATTGCTTACGATTTGCATTAATTCATTATGCGCGCTTAAGGAAATTCTCCGTATTCGTTCTCCTTCGTTAGCCGCAAATGCCACATAATGAATACCAAACTAGAATGCAGTTGCAGAACAAAGGAGCGGCATGGGATGGTTGGATGGATGGATGGGTGTCCTCCAGGACACAATGCTTTGTTCGTGCCCAGGAGCATATTTCACGTAATTTCCGTAGCTGCTTTTGTGCCCGGAGTTTTCACTCAACCGGGATGGGTCTTAATTGACTGCTTATGCCACTAAGGTTTGCATTACCCACATTCTATTGTCCTGCTTTTCAGTCAAGGAGGGTCGCAATCTCATACCCATGGACCCGAATGGACTCAGCGATCCCTATGTGAAGGTGAAGCTAATACCGGATGACAAGGATCAGTCGAAGAAGAAGACTCGCACCATTAAGGCTTGCCTGAATCCTGTCTGGAACGAGACACTCAGCTAGTAAGGATTTTTAAAGTAATTATTATTACTTTTATAAGTATACTATTGTTACTATTATTAGTGACCTGAAACCCGAAGATAAGGATCGACGGATCCTGATCGAGGTGTGGGATTGGGATCGCACCTCGCGCAATGACTTCATGGGCGCTTTGTCCTTTGGCATCTCGGAGATCATCAAGAACCCCACCAATGGTTGGTTCAAACTGCTCACCCAGGACGAAGGCGAGTACTACAATGTGCCATGTGCGGATGATGAGCAGGATCTACTGAAGCTCAAGCAGAAACCTTCGCAGAAGAAGCCTATGGTTATGCGCAGCGACACGAACACGCATACGTCCTCCAAAAAGGACATGATCCGGGCCACGGACTTTAATTTCATCAAAGTTCTGGGAAAAGGATCATTTGGCAAGGTGCGTATCTTGACTTATTTCTAGAATATCAAAGAGGACTGGTAAAATTAGTATAAATCCTACCTAAATATGGAGCGTATCACTATGATGTGTTCGCCATCTTGCTTTTTGCTCTCTTTTTCTACTTCGGAGAGTTTCGAATATTGCTATCTCGCTGTTGCCCAGAGTAATTTTAGAAGCTATATTTCTCTTTTCTCTCTTTTGATATAATTTTTAAAGAGAGGAAATCTGAGGATTACTATTCAACATTCGAATATAAAATTGATCCCTACATTTTTTTTTCTGCGCATCAACCAAACCTTTTCTTTTAGATTATTTGTAAATATTTTCCATACTTTATTTAATCATACATTTTAGGTTTTGTTAGCCGAGCGCAAGGGCAGCGAGGAGTTGTATGCCATTAAGATACTCAAAAAGGATGTGATCATCCAGGACGACGACGTGGAGTGCACCATGATCGAGAAGCGTGTCCTGGCGCTGGGTGAAAAGCCCCCATTCCTGGTACAACTGCACTCCTGCTTTCAGACAATGGTGAGTCTAGCATCGGGGAAGGGGTATCCAAGAATAGATAAAGAATACCTCCTCTTCAGGACCGATTGTTCTTCGTGATGGAGTATGTGAATGGAGGCGATTTAATGTTCCAGATCCAACAATTTGGCAAGTTCAAGGAGCCAGTGGCTGTGTAAGTGTCTTTGGAAGTCTAAAATCTTTCCCTTTAGTTATTTTTCTCCCCTCCAATAGGTTTTATGCCGCTGAAATAGCCGCAGGACTTTTCTTCCTACATACCAAGGGTATACTGTATCGGGATCTGAAGCTGGATAATGTTCTCTTGGATGCCGATGGACATGTGAAGATTGCGGACTTTGGCATGTGCAAGGAGAATATAATGGGTGACAAGACCACAAAGACCTTTTGTGGAACACCTGATTATATAGCTCCCGAGGTGGGTTTTACAGATAAATATATAGTTACCCAAATAACTATGTATATTTACCATATCTTTAGATAATCCTTTATCAACCCTATGGCAAATCGGTGGACTGGTGGGCCTATGGAGTGCTGCTTTACGAAATGCTAGTGGGTCAGCCACCTTTTGATGGCGAGGATGAGGAGGAGCTGTTTGCCGCCATAACTGATCATAATGTGTCCTATCCAAAAAGCCTAAGCAAGGAGGCCAAAGAGGCCTGCAAGGGCGTAAGTTATTACTAGAACTTTTAGATGATAAACTATTAATAAAAAAATATTTTATAGTTCCTAACCAAACAGCCAAATAAGCGATTGGGTTGTGGCTCCACTGGCGAGGAGGATGTGCGTCTGCATCCCTTTTTCAGACGCATTGATTGGGAGAAAATAGAAAATCGCGAAGTGCAGCCACCTTTTAAACCGAAGATTGTAAGCAGAAACAGCCTTATATCTATAAATCACTACCTTAATCGTATAATAATTACTGTCCAGAAACACCGCAAGGATGTGTCCAACTTTGACAAGCAGTTCACATCAGAGAAAACAGACTTGACGCCCACGGACAAGGTGTTCATGATGAACCTGGATCAATCGGAATTCGTTGGGTTCTCCTACATGAATCCCGAGTACGTCTTTAGCCCATAGATATAGATCCGATCTGATCCGATCTAGTTTCCATGCTGCGAGTTGTGTCCCCTAAGTCTATTTTGATATTGATTACTAAAAAGACATCTTGTTACTCTCTGTTAAGTTTTCTGTTTTGCTTTTCGACCATTATGTGTATCTATATTTATTGAATTGTTAAGTTTTGATTTAATTTTAAGTGCTAGAAACTGTGAAACAGAGCTTTAGTTGTGGAATATTCGAATACTGTTCAAGAGCACGTCCTCACCTCAAGCCAAAAGAAAAGAAAGCAATAAAATTGAACATTTCAAATACTTGCTAGCCTATCACTCTGCGTAGAACTTTCATCGGTTCTGTCCGATTTCAAAACATTTTTCAAAAATATATATTATACATTTCGGCAAGCTATAAGCATTTGCATTTTCCATTTGGAAGTTAACTTTTTAGACAACATCTGAGTGTTTTTGTAGCCAATTAATCGATTTTAATAGTCAAAACCGTGGGAAAGTCCCCATACTTTCCCCGACAGAGCAAAGAAGAGGGAGAATTAGGAGTTTTGGGCCAGGTTCAAACGTCATTCGATTGTAGTGCTAGCCCCGGCATTATAATCAAATCGAAAACGCGTTTAGGTGAGTTCGCCAAAGAGGGAGAAATCAAGGAGAACAACAAACGTTCCCATTATATTCGAAACTTAAGCAGAAATATCATAGAATATGTGTTTTTTTAAATTCCATTAATATATCAATGTGCGTGTACATTAATTTTACGATTTATTTAAAAAGCATTGCAAACACACGTATATATAGCACGTCTATATATATGGCTGGCATAGAGTCTCAATGTACCATAACTAACAAATTGCATAGCAATAAGTTAAGCCTAGACGATACTTAACACTTAAACTGTAAAACTAAAACTGTTTGCTCCTAACCGAGGGATAACTATGTTAGATCGTTCTTGAGTTGGAAACTTTAGTACCTTCACAGGAATCTAGCTACTAACAACTACTGTTTAACTATGGGAAAAGACAATCTACTATAAGCATGTAAATCTATAGTCATCGTATATTATAGCCTAGACCGATTTCCAAATTAGCGCCAGCCGAGCTAAGCTTTTGTGCCTCTCGTAGCTATCTTTCTCTCATAGAAGAAACCTTAACAGAATTCATGCCAAACGAGGCTATACGTATTTATAGGGAAATTATAATATTATATATGTATGTCTGTCGAAGTGGAATTGTAGCCAAGCTAATTGCGTAGGGCACAGCAGAGTAATTAAATCAGAACTAACAATTAACATGAATTGGTAAAGCTTAAAAGTAGTTTGAACTAGTACACTCGATGCATAATAAACTTAAATACTTATAAACTCGAATAGATAAAATTGTGTAACTCCGAACTTGAAGCATTTAAAACGTTTAATTTAACTCTCCAATTTGAAATCAAAACGTAATCTAAGCCAACAAGGTAGATCAAAAAGCTATACTCAATCCCAAGTGGATGGGTTCGAATCACAACCACGATGAGTAGCACTTAACGTTCAACCCGAGGGATAAAGAAATTTGCTCGTATTTTTAAAATAAATGTAAAGCCTAATTAACATATATCAATAGATGTATATGTGTGTCTGAATTACTTTAATGACTTTTATGGCAAATAAATGAAGGGAGCGAAAACACTTTTCAAGTCTGTTCAAATATTGAAAATATTACAATTTGAAGAAAATTAATTTTTATTATCAAACTATATACATATTGAAGTGCATATTGGTAGGACTTTAACTGCATACAGTTTTATTTAGAGTCAACACTTTTACAAAACATATTTATGTAATTTTGATGATTTTCATGGTCATTTTTTAAACCAAAGTCTCATGCGTATGTATTTTAATTGCATATTAAATTAGTACAAAACAAATAGATATATACACCTATACATTAATATATTTATATCTATGAAATATCGATGTGAATTACTTAACAGATATAATACCATACGATATCACGCGAGAGAAAGCAAAACTTCCAAACGAAACTCTCGAGAGAAACCCAAACTAAACTAAAGAAAACTATTTTTACGTCTGAATAATTCACCCACACCCCTGAACAGTCAGTCGAAGCTATATGCCTGTGCATATATGCATCCACTATATACAATTTCGAGTACACACAGACCCGAGCTGAATGTAATCTATAATTTATTGAGCCAAGCCAAACAAAGAGAGACAAACTCAAATAAATCAAACCATCGGCTTTGGGCTCACCACACACATACAATACGAGTACCCATGAGTAAATAAAAATACTACTAAATACATCTGAATCTCTGAAAATGAAAATGTTTATCTTGGGTTACGGAATTTTAAATCTACGTTTAATGTTGTGTATCAATTTCACACAGTGAAAAATAAGTACTCAAGGTTAAATTTGAAATTCGCATGGTAAATTTATTGGATTTTTTCTCTTTGAAAATTCTCTCAAAACAACGGAAAAGAGAGAAAAGAGGAAAGTTACTCTGGGTAAGAGCGAAACAGCATTATTCGAAACTCTCCGAAAGAGAGCAAGAGAGCAAACAGTGATTATGTCAAAGTGATACTGAATTTCATCAATATGATCATCATATCTTATCAATTTTGTTCTCTGTGTACCATTAGCAATTATAGATCTAAGGGACCCCAAAAGGTATCTATAATTCGACATACTATAAACATATCCAAAACCTGGTGATCATAAATTTGCAGAGCCCCGCTAGGTATGCAACAAAAAAGAGAACGCTAGGATGTCGGACCATATATACTTATAGTACCTATATAAAGGCTAGATATTAGATAAAGGGAGAGGGCGATCGGCTGAGATAGAGTTCGATGTTGAGGTGGGTTTGCGTGGCGGCGTTATCATTGATTGCGTACAAATTAACATTTATGCGTCCGTTAGCGTTAGATAATCTTATCGTGAATTTGCAACAATTAGATAGACGTGTCCAGCGGTCGCTGCCAATCCTCCTCTTCACCCAGTCAGCCAGTCAGTCAGTGAATAACATGGCCAGTCATCGAACCGTTCCATCTGTCATGTACGCCGTGAATTTCACCAGACCAGACTCCGGCTGGAACCCCGAGATGGTGCACAGCGATGAGTGCATCTTCCAGAGGAGCCCGCCCAACGTGGTGATCTTTGTGCTCTACGGACTGGCCGTGCCCACTTTGTCTGCCTTTGGACTGTGCACGAACTTCATCAATGCGGTGGTCTTTATGCGACCCAAGATGACGCCTTCGGCCTTCAGCTATCTGGCGGCCCTTTCCTGGATGGACTGCATCTCGTGTCTGCTCATCACGCTGACCGCCCTGTCCAGGAGCTATTTCTACGACATTCCAGCCTGGATCGCCTACGACTATCAGTGGCAAACGCCATTCTTTGGCATCAGCACGGGAGCAGCCAATCTTATACTGGCCTGTCTGAGCCTGGATCGATTCACCTATCTGTCCAGTTTCAAGAAGAACAATGGAGCTCCTCGGTTTTGTCGCCGGAAGGTGGCTCGCTGTATGATCCTTGTGGCCATAGGCACCTCCGTAGTGGTCAATTTGCCGTACTTCTTTGTCTTCTATGTGAATGACTCGGGAACCTGTCACGTCACTGACTTCTACTACTCAAAGTGAGTTAAAAGAGATGTGGACTTGGTGATTTGATATTTACAAGAAGGTTATCTTTTCGTCAGGTTTTATAAAGTGCAAAACTGGTTCACCTTTGCCTTGCTGGCCCTTTTGCCAGCCATTTTTCTGTTCATCGGCAACGGGGCCATTATCATAGCCTTCCGAAAATGGACAAAGCAGAGCCGACGGTGTCAGGCGACCAACACCAATGCCAATACCCTTACCACCGCCAAGAGATACCAGGTATGACTATACGAGGGGTTCTATTTATGCTATTAAAGTGGTTCAATTTATGTGGAGGAAAAATAAACTAATATTCATAAAAATCAGTTATAAGATTAAAATTATCATTGTTCAACAAATAAAATACACATTCTTGCATTGAAAAAAATAATATTGATAAAAAACAGTTATAAGATTAAACATATCATAGTCCCAATAATAGAAAAAAACAATATTTATAAAAAACAGTTATGAGATTATAAGAATGATAGTCCTAACAAGGAAGGACGCTATAGTCGAGTACCTCGACTATCAGAAGGAATTTTGGTCAACATTGCATTGAATTCCCTATCGATTGGAATTAAAAACAGCAAGCTTTAATTGTTGACCCTTTTTTGTAAAAACAAACAACCATATTTTATGCCTACATCTAAGCTCTTTACAAATTTAAAATGGATGAATTTTATTAACCAAATTTATCTGCACTGGCGAGTTTAACGGCTATTTCCTTGCTCTTTGACACTAGGGCAACATAATCCGTAGCAAGTGGCTGCTGGGCGCTAACATTTTCTTACTGGAAGGCAACCGTTAGTTCAGTATAAGCAGACTAGAGATGGAAAATCTCTTGACCGGCAACCAAGCCTCCACATATTTTGAAGTGGCACACCTTTAGATAGGCCTTAAAAACTAATCGTTGACCTCATACGAATTTTCCTGTTCACCTGGTGCTTGAAATTGAAAAATAGCTAATTTACTTGAATAAATTAAAAGGATTCGCAACATATTTTCTGTCAAAATGCTGGATTTATGGCTCTCGGACACCAGGCGAACAGAAAACTTAGCAAGTGACAGCTGGTAGCTAAAGGTGCACTTAAATAACTGTTCATTTTCAAAATGGCGGCTCTTTCCATATTTCCCCTTCCCCTACTGACCAATAGGAATCTATCCCCATGGGAAACAACCGTTAGTTGAGAACAAAGCGCAGACTAGAGATGGGCAACCATGGCTGTATCACGAGTTTGTCACGATATGCACGAAATAACATTGAAATCCTATGCATTTGCATAGTTCGTGCCAAAATTAAGCAGTCACGAGGCCATCTCCAATTAGATTCCATTAAACAAATCAGCTGATCGTTTCTCCACCTGCTAAACGTTTATGTTCGCCTGGTGTCTGAATTCAAAAAATTTAGCATTTTGACAATTTTCTCGACGAGAAAATAAGGATTTTTTTGATCATTGGCACCATACCAACATAATCCTTAGCAGGGTGCTACTGGGTATAAAAATAGAATATGTATATATGTTTTATAGTTGTAAAAAATAAGATATATTTTGTATTGTAACTTTTTAATATATCCTTTTTATAACATTACTTATAAAATTTTTCTGGCACAATTCCACTTACACTAGTATATCTTTCTTATTGCAGCACCAAATGAAGCTGACCATCAGCATAGTGATTGTAATTACATTGTACCTGGTTGGTGAGCTTCCCGCCCACATGACTGCCAGGAAGAGCTCCTTAAATCTAATATTCGGCGGTGATATCAACAAGGTGGATGAGTCCTTCATGGAGCAGCTGGAGGTGATCTGCATAACGCTAAATGCGCTGCAATTGTCCCTGAACATAGTGGTCTATGCCGTGATCAATCCTTCGTTTATGCCGGAGTTTTTCCTGTGCCTCAAGGGAACCTCGGATGTGTGCTTCGGATTGTGCTGCTTCCGAGCTCTGCGAAGGATGTGGATTCGGTGCCGGGCTCGCCGACATCAGAACGCTACGGCGGAGGAGCAGGTGGTCAGCACTGTGAGTCTCCAGCATCCCCCGGTGGATGAGGCTCTTCCTTGTGGTTGCGAGAGCTGGGCCAGTGATTCCGGCTGTAAGAATAATGCCCATTGCAAGACGGCAGTGGGTACCTTTACCATGAAGGATTCCGAACAGGACGAAGAGATCCATTGCCGTCGCGAGTCGGAGGTTTTTTACACCAGATCTAGCGCCTGCCTGCACTCAAAAGACTCCGCTCCCGACGAGGATTCCATATTTAGTTCTAGCTTTATTATCATAACTTAAGAACACTTATTCACTACACTTTAGGCTTAAGAGTATTCAATTAAATGAGCATTGTGCTATATCGGTTGAAGAGACGGTTCCATATCTTATTGGTGAATGCTCGAGCTGCCTTCTCATTGCCATCGAAGACCTTGTAGTACGGATCTCCAGGTTGAATCTTGTGTATCACGATGTGCATCATTCCTTTACCCTGCTTATCATCCTTATGAAGTTTTCGTAGCATTATTCGTTTTTTAGTGACATTCCCTTGGATATCACTTGAATTGGCTAACGTTGCATTGGGTTGAGCTTGAACTTGAGTTAGCAAAATACAACAGATGATGTAGAGACCAAGAAAGTAATAGAGATGCATCTTTATATGAAGTGAAGCCAATGGATTCCGAATTGTAACTGATCTACTGAAAGATATGTAACTAACTCTGAAAAAGTTCTAACAGCTGAGCAAACAGTTTGAAACTTGATGAATGATCAGCAGATGGAACAGACCATCCAAAACCAGTTTCCTTTCATCAAGAAGTACTGAATTAAAAGATGAGATGAAACATTTTTATTGACATCACATCACATTACTTTGTAAACAAGTAAATGGCCACAATGAGACCATACAGTCCCAATACCTCGGCAAAGATCAATATTAGAATAATGGCCACAAAGAGTTTCGGCTGCTGGGCAGATGCCCGGACTCCAGCTTCACCCACCACGCCAATAGCGATTCCAGCCGCCATCCCAGAGACACCCACCGCCAGTCCAGCACTTAGGTTAAGGAATCCCTTGTAGGCGGTATAATGTTTGTTTAGCGATCCAGCCAGCAGGACCGCAATCACCAAGCCATAGATGGCTATAATGCCAGCCATGACCACTGGAACAATCGCCTTCATGATCAGCTGGGGATGTTTAATAGACATCGAAGCTATTCCCACAGAGGACTTGGCGGTTCCATAGGCAGCACCCAGCGTGGAAAAGACAATGGCCGACACGGAACCCAAAACGCAGAAAAAGGTGGCGAAATGGGGTTGATCCAAAGTTAGCTCCGGACTTGACATCGTTCAGCCGAATATATTGTACTTCTCGGAGCAGGAATAATCCCAAAGTTTATTTACTTTTTAAGTTCAAACAACTTTGATGTTATTCAACGATGTTGCTTGATAATATAAGTATCTTGTGTTTTCTAATACATTTAATATGTTCTTATATACAGTCTTTAAAATAACTGATCACACAAAGTATTTTGAGTTCGGTGTAAACAATGCTATTTTAAACATCAATATGTTGGTTTTATTTTACATTAAACTCTCCTTTAATAATGTATATGCTTTGGACTCCTAATAGTAGTCGAATTTAACTAAAAGTAGATTTCAAAATACTCAAATGTATATTATAGTAAATAGATATTCTAGAGAGAATTCATATAGTTCAATATAAGCAATCCATCAATATCAACTGCGTTTCATTTCTTTCTTGAACCATTCGTAAAACTATATAATGTCTTCGTTTATGTACAGCTTAGTTATTATTAGTAACCTATTTCAGCTCGAGCTATAATACACAAGAAAATATTTCAGACAGCACTTACTTTCCCTGCAACTTGGACAGAAAATCCATGAGGAACTGATGCCTTCCACGTAATTCGCCTATGCTGCGGTGCTTCAGCTTGGCGCACATGCGTCGAATAAGCTGATCTCGATCGCGTGCCCCCATTTTCATTTCGATAAGTATTACTTTGTCCTCTTCACGCGTCCAGGCGGCCGAGTGGGAGCTAGCAGACTCAGATTGCGATGTGCTGGCAGTCGAAGCAGATGCTGCAGCTGTTTGATCTTCGTTGGGAGTGCAGTTGGCTAGCGTGGCCACAACATCCAGCTTGCAGTCCTCGTCGCTGTCAAATTGCGTGGTGATCACGTGCTGCGGCGTGTTCCCTGCACTCACTAGTAGTGGCTCTAGCTCCTCCTCCGATTGATCCAAATCCATTTTGAAGGGCGTAAAAACTGGCATGTTCTCGGCACTATCGTCAAGGCTCTCAGGCTCGGGCTCAATTTTTGTAACAGTCGCAGGACTACAACGGATTGCTGGCTGCTCCTTCGCCTGCGCAATAATCCGTATGCCCGCCTTTGTATCAGATGCATCCCGGACACTTTCTTGATCAATCAGCGTGCGCAAACGTTTGGCGCACTCAATGGCCGGCGAAGAAGAAGGCTGTGACTCATGGATTACGACCATTGGCTGATTACTGGCACGTTGTCTGCCCTGAGTTTGATTAAGAGGAGATCGGACCTTCTTGGTGGGTGACTTTCGTTTGTCCACATGAGGAGAACTATTGGTCGTACCCAATAACGGACTCAACCCGGAGTTGTTAAATGCCGATTGCTTGCGTGGGGATATGTCACCAAAATTAATGGCAGTTTTCTTAGCGTGTGGGTGATGGTGCCCATGGGAGTTAGACATATTGGGCGTGCTGGTTGCTGCATTACTAAAGCTGGAGTTTGTGTACAAACTGGCATTCAATCGGATGGCATGCGCTCTCAAGCCCGCTTCATCGCACATCTCAATGGATGAGCAGCTGTTCTGCTCATCCCCTGTAGTATCGATAATCAGAGCACGACTGGCATCATCCTCCTCACTCCGATCCGCAGCATCGTCGCTATCGGTATTGGCAGCCAAACTAAGAAGCTTCTCTCCCTGGGCACGAATACCATGGGCACAGGTCAGGGGTTCACTGGAGACCGTTGGCACGTCATGAGACTGTTCATTGTAAATACTGGCAGCCATAAAGGAAAGCTTGGCAGGCAACAGGATCTTGGCCCCATAAAATATCCGACCATTAATATATTTTAAGTGACAACCAGGTTTACTTGGTGTAGGTACATCCACGAATTCTTGAATCATTTCCGTATATTCCCCCGTTGTGTTGTTCTGCACATCATGCAGATTTATAGTCTCCACAGGAGACAGGATTCTACAAAGGTCAAAAGGTTATAATCAAGTAACAGAGCTGATGGCTGTGTTTCCCTCACCTTTTCGGGGGCTTTCCCTGCGGGAATTGCTGAACAAACCAATCGACCAGAAACTGATTGCCCTTGAGCAAGGGCATTATCTTATTCTCAACCTTCTTCATGCTCACATTAGGCAATTCCGCCAACTCGCTGAGGCAGGCATAAATCTTTCTGATCTGAGCGGGCTGCTTGCAGAAGTAGATGTTGAGTTTGTTGATGAAGTTGGTAGCATTGCTTATCATAAAGTGCTCGAAGAATTTGCCGATCTCAGCGGCCTCGGCAGGTAGCAAAAAGTTAAGGAATACCTCAGCCAGCTCGGGGTGATTGGGCAGCAAAATTTCTTCCACTTTCTATGGGATAAAGTAAATGTTTAAATGTCTATGCAAAGACGATAAGCGAAGCAAATAAACCTTACCAAATACAGAGCGGAAACTTTCTCCTGCCTGGGATCGAAGTTCTGCAGGAGACTATTGAATTTTCGGCAATCGTCTATGCGATCGGCATTTAGCAGGGCTTCCTCTACTTTGTCATAGAAATTTAGCGCAAAAACTGTAAAGGCAAGGGAAATGAATAAGTTTCATTCATTGATTTAAAGTCACGGCTAAACTTACTGGCATCTTTGCGATTGCGTTCTTCAGGAGAATCTGGCTGGAGCATGTGGCGCAGCATCTCCTCCTGCCGATTGGCCCTCCTAAGCTTTGCCGCCTCTTCATCTCCCCTGGATCTCTTTGGCTGCGTTGCCGTCGCTGCTTTAGCGGTGGTGGTGCTGCAGAACATCTTTAGGTCGACCAGCAGTTGGGTGTACAGTTCGAGGGCCAGAAATCGAATGTGCACGAGCTGCACCAACTCGCAGGCTTTAAATTTCTCCCTGCGCTGACGCAGGTAGGACTCGTAGGTGATGATTAGCGAATGGCAGCGCTTGCTCAGTTTATGGCGCAAACGTTCGCGCAATTTATGGTATCGACTGCGGGCTGACGATGATCCCTTTCGCGATTTATAGGCGGATTGAACCTTTGGCTTAAAGATTTGGTAACGCGCCCTCTTGGCGTATCTACCTGCAGATGAGGTGCTGGTATCCTGCTTGGGCAACAGATCCTGCTGTACTGCCACGCTGGTGGAGTCTTCCAACTCGCAGATTTGCAGACTGTGGGTGAACTCGTCTACTTGGAAGTTGATGGCTGGCGGAGCATCGTCGGCCAGAGGCGGAGGAGCTGGGGGCAGGGCCAGTAGACCACTGCAGTCGGCGCTAGTATACAGACTGCGGTTGATGTTCAGCACATTCTCCGCCAGACTTCCGCCGGGCACAAGAGGCACGGAGACCCCAGAGATTCCGGGTAGGTTTCCAGCGCTTGCATCGCCGCCAAAGACATAATTCACATTGATGGTGAGCTGCGGGGGCTGTTCCGCCGGACGGGGCTTCCTCTGTGGTAGCTTCCTCTTCGGTTTGCAATCCTTGGGCGGTTCCGAACCAGCAGCACTGCCATCAGGGATTGCTGCCCGACCAAAACTGTCCGGCAGCAGCAGATCCTCGCCGACAGCCTCGCGCACAAACTCCAGATACGAGGCACTGGCTACCGAGGACGCTTTCAAGGGCTTCAAGTAGCGACGTGTGCGCTTTTGCTCCCAGGATTTCTGCAAAATGTCAGCGATTGAAAATTTTCCGCAATTTATAAACACAACAGAGATGGCACAAGCTCGGTATGTGGTTATCGATAACTTCTATAATCGGTACCTAGCCACCTATAGACAGAGATCGGACCTTTAAGCTGTTATTTGCATGCAACAATTGGTAAAATCCATTGTAAACAAGTATATGTATAGTTTTATAAACAAAAGTTTGCAATTTGATAAATAAGCACAAGTACCTAACCGGTTACGTACCTAGGTACGATTATCTAAACAAAATCCGTCACTATCGATAACTAGGTGCCTGCCTATCGCACTTTTGACTGCACTAAAAGTAAGAGCGACAACATATTTCTTTGTTTTTAAATAAAATAAAACTAAGTTTAGTCCACAGACCAACTAATTTATATTCTTTCAAACTATTCCCAACAGGGCTTAAAAATTCTGACGGCTACAAACAGCAAAAACCCGTTTTAACTCGGACAAAACTAAAACTGACCACGTCTGCACATTCCAACATGAGCAAAGTAACCTTCAAAATCACGCTAACTTCGGACCCCAAGCTGCCCTTTAAGGTGCTCAGTGTTCCGGAGGGAACTCCCTTTACCGCCGTCCTGAAGTTCGCCTCGGAGGAGTTCAAAGTGCCGGCAGAGACGAGTGCCATCATCACGGACGATGGCATCGGCATCAGTCCACAGCAGACCGCTGGAAATGTGTTCCTAAAGCACGGATCCGAATTGCGCCTTATTCCCAGAGATCGGGTGGGCCACCAACTAAGCTAGTTTCCTAGTCCCTCTGTATTTTCCCACTGAGATTCCCCCCCTTTTTCAATGCTTATTAAAATGTTAAACGATGTAATCCGTAATAATCCATTGTAATCCTTACCTCAATGTAGTATTGCCAGCCACTGGGCAGCTCCTGGTGACGTTCTCGTGGTGTTCTCACTGTTCCACCCTCGAAGCCCCAAAGGATGTGGTTAGCAGGCGGTGCCCGGTCGCGTTCAAGGAAGTATTTCACTGGATTGTACTGCTTCGAGTCGCGCAGCTCAGTAATCTTCATGAAAATCCGACGAGCTGTCTTGCCATAAATCGTATCTTTGGCCATTCGTTTGCAGGCAACCCTTATGGGATCTGCCCCTTTGCGTAGTGGTCTTTTGGCCTTCCCAATTACCGTCATGTGCTTCTCCAGACCAATGGCAATTAGCTGATACTCGGAGGGTGCGTAGGCGGTGACCTGGGTTAGTTTGGGTTGAAAAGCCATCCGGGGTAGGTACTGAGGATACATAAACACCCGGCTATCCAACATGAGATCCATTATTCGAGGCGCTAGCCTGGGAACCTGGCGCGTGTGGCCATCACTAAAAGGGGGAACAAAGCGTTAGACTTGTTTAATTGTAACTACCTTCAACTTACGTCAAATCTGTTTCTTTGTTGATGAAGTCCATCATTTTTTCGTTCTCCTCCTTAAACTCATCACTGCACAGATCCTGCTCCCACTGCCTAACCAGCTGGACAGCCTCGTTTAGATTCCAGCAATTAAAACTGGCATCTTTAGCTGCTTTCTTGTGGAGATCTTCCAGCATTTCCCTGGGCTTCTTGGCCATGGGATACAACGTGGGATGGGAGTAGGTTTGCAGATAACTCTGACTCAGCAACTGGGTATGAATGCGAAGCTGCTGCTGAAGCATGTCATGCTGGGACTGGGTGAATCCCTTGCTCCTGGCGAGGTGATTCAAGTTAGATGGCTGGACATTTCGCAGGTTTTCAAACTGGTCCTCATACTCAGAGTAAATATGTTTCTTCACCGAGATGTATTCCCATGTGAAGTTCGTATCAAATGGTTTTTTGTAACGATCTTCATTGCTTTTTGGTACCACTGGTGGTTGAATTGGTTCCAAGTTAGAGAATGCCTGTAGAGATTCTTCTGTCAATGGGTAATTAACCAACGCAGAGTTATTGGCTACAACTTTGGCAAGTTGGAAGCAATCGGGTTGTCCAGGTATAGGAACAGCGATAAGATCGGGGGGAGCACTCAAAGCACTAGATGGTATGTTTACCACCTTGCAGGGTGGTCCTCCAGGACCATTTTGCAGGTTGCCCTCCTGCATCACAGCCACGGGAACGGGCATTACCATGTCCATTTCGCTCCCAGATGGTATCACAGTTGGTTGAAAGACCTGCTGATCTTGCTGTTGACAATTTATCACTGCCTGATCATCAAAATCGATATTCCGGGTAATCTGATCAATGGGAGCCATCGAAACATTGGCACTTTCAATGAACTTCTGAGGTGTTTCCAATTCAATCGATTCCAAAGAGACACCCTCTTGCAGCAGGCCAGCAAATAGCTCAGAGACCAGGTCGGTCAATTCCTTTTTGGATATGTTGACATCGCGCAGCTCCTCGGCGTTCTCATACTCCGAATCCAAATGGTCGGCGGCAACATATTCCGGATCGTTAATAGGATCATCCTCGTCGCCCAGGATAGTGTTGTCTGTTAGATATTAGAGTTTATAAAGTGTACCAAACAAACTTCAAAGGGCTACTCACTCAGCGGCTTTGTAAAGTCATTTAGGAACTGCATCCAGTCCGCGTCGGTGGCGGTCATTTCGTTTTCCACGACATCACTGGGCTCTACGTCAGGCGGTACAAACTCCGACTGCAAATCTTCGATGGTAGTCTGTTGCAGACAGAACTTTGAGCGAGTTCTGGTGGCAATACGCAGGTCCTCCTTGTCGAGCAGACTTTTGTCCAACGGCATCTTAAAGCAGCCATCATCGGAGAACTTTACCGGAGATTCCTCGTTCGCAGTGAGCGGAGTTTGAGGTGTACAGGGATTGGAGTCGAAATCCGATGCTATGGTGCTGGGATCATCATCGGACTGGGGGTTGAACAAGGGTTTAGCATCGGTCAAGGAGCTTACTTGTCATACCTACAAAAAAATCCTCCTCCTTGAAAGTGTACTCCTCGTCCTCCTCATCGGAGTGCAAGTCCTCGCGTATTAGAGCCTCTATGCCATCATTGTCGGTGGGAGTCTCATTGAGCTGGGGCAGGGAGATGCCGGGAGTGCAGTTCAGTTCCCGGGCCTTGGCTCGGGTGAGTTTCGGAACGGATGGAGTGTCCGTGATGATGATGGCACCCCGTTTCTGCTGCTCCGCCGACTCCAACTTCTTTTCTCGCGCCAGCTCGTCCTCCGCTTTTAGGGTGACCAATGCCAGGACATGATCGTTGCGCACCACCTTCCGGACCACCTTTTGCATGTCCTCGGTGCTGATGGAGTTCTCTTTGGCCACTTTCCGAAGCCGGCGATCGATCTCCCTGACATCCTCGTCCACCTGCGAGTCGATGCTCTGGCGGTCCACGCGACGCCGCTTTCGCGGCCTACGGGGAGTGGAGCTACTGCTCTTTGTGGCCTCCGACTTTTTTGCACTGTTCGGCATTCTGTGGCTTCATTTGTTAATGAAATTCCAACGTAAACTTAGCTCAAACAGCAAAACAAAATCACAAACAACGAAATGCCGCCACTATAATATGCCATATCGATTAGTGATGGGACAAAGTCGATAGGTCGATAGTATCGATTCAAAAAATAGTTAAAAATTAGTTTAATTTAAAAATGTTTCAGTCCTTTAATTTGATCCGTTTATATATATGTAGAAAACATATTATCTTGTAAGTCAATTTTTAACTTAATATATTACATCTAATACTTGTCCCGACAATGCTCGTTGATTTAAGACAAGTAGTTCTTATTCAAATTATACATTTAATAAATGTTTGATGACTAGATGTGCAATCGTTTTATTAAAATGTATTACTTATATATAAAGTAAACATATCGGTTCCCGTTTCGATGTCTCATCGATAATATCCCGGCCAAACATCGATGCTTCCGATGTTTTCAAAACATCGATGACATGTTTGCTAGAATCAATGTTTCTCCACCTCTAATGCTCTGCTTTTCCGGGCTTCTGCCCAAAAATAATATAAAATAAAAACCCGCCGGTCGGAGCAAATGTCACCTGAAGTGGAGACAGCTTGAGTAGCAACCGAGAAGCTGAGCCGCCCTCTTCCCGCCGCGGGAGTGTCTAGACCAAGAGTTCCGTCTCCATTGCTGCAGCCGTGAGGTAAGCCCGCGATTTGACATGAATCACATGCACAGCGAATGATGAGTGACTCCACCCAAAGCTCTAGAAACCGGAAGATGACAGAGAAGGTTACCAAACTGGCGCTGGCCAGTCGCCTCATCGTGCTCGTGGTCCAACTGATGGCCAATGGAGCCCTGCCGGAGCACAAGCCGGACGTATTTCGAATGCCGGTATCGGACGAGCCGAAGGGCTGCTGCGAGTGGATTGACAAACTGGTGCAGCGCTGCTTTGGCGGTTTGAGGCACTGGGATGGAGAGTACTTCCTGCACATTGCCAAGAATCTGTACTCCTACGAGAACACCCTGGCCTTCTACCCACTTTATCCGGTTGTGGTGCGTCACGTGGCGCAGGCATTGGAGCTTGTCGGACTGCCCTTGTCCCCCGATTCCATTTTGCTCCTAGTGGCTATCGGCCTGAACGTCTGGCTCTTCTGCGAGTCGGCCAATCTGCTGTTCCAGCTCACCCACCGTATGTTCAACGACCTAAACAAGAGCTGGTATGCGGCTTTGATATACTGCTTCAATCCTGCGACCATTTTCTTCACGGCTGCCTACTCGGAGTCCTTCTTCGCCTACGCCAGCTTCTCTTTAATGCTGGAGTGCCTGAAACCGACAGACCATTTCCGGTTCCTTCGTTTGGGTGCCGCTTTAGCCGCTTGTTTAGTGTGCCGTTCAAATGGATTGATCACCGTGGGATTCCCGCTGTACTTCTTCGCCCGCCAACTGCTGGTCAAGAGCAAGGAAGGTACCTCCTGCTGGCAGATGGGAAAGATGGTCCTGACTATTCTGGGAGCCTTGGGAATTCTACACACCTACTATTTCTACATTTACCGGCTGTACTGCCTTCCCTCCACGACGGCGATTCATCCGAAGCACATCGTGGACTACGCAGAGGAGCGGAAATACCTAATATCTGGACGGGGATCTGAAGGATCTCCCTGGTGCCAGTACACTTTGCCATTCCCGTACACCTACGTGCAATCGCACTACTGGGATGTGGGCTTTCTGCGCTACTACAAATGGAAGCAGCTACCCAACTTTCTGCTGGCCCTGCCCATGCTGAGTTTTATGCACTGGCACTGCTATGATTACCTGCGTGACTTCATCAGGTCGGTCTGGGCTAAGGTCACGCCTTCTGGCTACAGGGAGTTGGTCAAGGAGCACATCACATTCCCCTTCGTGCTGCACGCTGCGTTTCTCACCCTCATCTGCACCGTTTTTGTGCACATCCAGGTGTCCACCCGACTGCTGGCCTCGGCCACACCAGTTTTCTACTGGTTTGCCGCTGACCACATGCCCAAGACCCTGGCCCAGCTTAAGCTGCGCTCTAAGGCAGGAGCTCTTTTTATATGGTGTACTACCTACAGTTTGGTGGGTACGGTGCTGTTTTGCAACAATTACCCCTGGACGTAAGCTACTGGAGTAATGGAGAGGGAGCTAGAGGAGACGCTGGTTGCCAAAGAGACTGTTCACCCGCAGGGATTGCTTTTTAGTCTGTAAATAATCGTCCAATTTCTCTAAATTTAATTAATCATTTTTGAGGCGCTCAAAAGTATTGGTTTCCCATATAAGTTTCTCACCTATAAAGACTTTAAACTAAAAAAAAATTGCAAAATACAAATTGTTGAGATTTTTGGCTAACTTTGAAAAGTTTTCAAATATTGTGGGACTAACATATTTGATGTGGCGGTTGAAAATATTTTTCACTATTGTACAAACGCATTTGAATATAACTGAATGGCGGGAGCTTTTGAATATTTACATACTAGTGCAGTATTTTCAAAAGTGGCTAGCATCTTTTGTTTTATATATATGCGGTCACACTGTCAATCAGCTGTTTTGGGTGGCGGATCAAAACAACAAAGAAAATTGTGCAGAAAATTGTTTATTATTTAAAATCCTCGCGGAAAATATATTCCCATGGATGGGCATCTGCGCCTGCACAAGGTGGGCGACTTCGCCGCACCGAGTCTCCAGGAGAAGTCCAGCAAGGCGGGTGGCACCATGGAGCAGCTTTCGGGTGTGATGATAATCATCATAATCAGTGGCGGCGTACTCACCTGCCTGATGTTGTTCATCTTCGCCAAGCGTCAGATCATGCGCTTCCAGCTGCGAGGACGTCGTGGCCCCCACGTGCCGGTGGGCAACGATGCCAAAAAGGCGCTGAGGAGGGAGATTGAGCGGCGCTTGGACTGCATCCAGAAGATCACCCAGGAACCGAAGCTGCTATGGAACGATGGCGACAAGTACATCGTTCAACCGGAGCAGGACTCGCCTCCGCCGCCTTACTATTACCGCATGAAGGCCGTGGACGATGTGAAGCTGCTGGAGGCGGAGATCGCCCGGGCGGATGGCAGCTCACGACATGCCCCGGAGAGCCTGAGGGCCTTCCTGCTGACCACTTTGTCGGTCACTTTGAATGGAGCCGGTCAGAGGATGATCCATCAGTACTGCGATATGTACGAGCACGCCCGGCACGATCCAAATGAGTTTGGAAAGGATGAGTACGAGGCGTATCACCACTTGCTGCTCAAGCTTTTGGAGGCGTGAGTTAATTGGAGATGTACTTCTCTAAGATAAATAACTAAGCTTCTTTCTCTCAGATCCAAGCAGCTTAAGAACTACAACTCTCGAAAGGCTTCGCCCGCGAGAACTCCACGAAAACAGACCAAAATGCATTCCCTACTGGATCCTGCTCGCCTAAGACCACCCACCACCTTGGAGAATGTTCAGCCCAGCAGCGAACTCACGACTGGACAGCACGCCAAGGTCAATTTGACGCTGGGTCTGCAGGGTGGTAGCGGTGGAGGTGGCGAAGGCGAGGCCGAGCTGGCTACCAATCCGCTCCATCTACAGGCGCCTTCCGAAAGGGATCTTATCATACGCAATAGAATTAAGACTCCCACTTTGGACGACATTATCGTAGAGGCGGATCACCACCTGAGCAGTGATGTGGGAGTCTTGGAGGACAACGAAATTAAGAGCATTTCGTCCATGCAATTCCAACGGAACTCCAGCAATGTCTAAGCTTATAAGTTTTAGTACTCAGCCATTTGAAAAATATTTGTTAAATATCGTTTATACTTTAATTTATGTTATTTTTTAGTAGTAAAAACCAAACTTTTTGGACAACCCACATCTTATACATGTTCTTCTAAAAGTCTATTGATTCTCAAGCCGTTAGTTTTATTTAAAATACAAGTTTAGTCGCTGGAACTTATCTATAAGAAGCGCGTGTAAATCTGGTAAAATTGTTTCAAGTGATTCAATGTTTCTAGAGAAATATTAAAGTAAATATGATTTGAAATTCTCATCCATTCACTTCTTGCAAGGATCATCCTTTTTCTTGCAGGGATCTTCTTTCTCCTTACAAGCATTTTTTTCCTTCTCGGCGCACTTGTCGGCCAACTGGGCATAGAGAACCAGGTCCAGGAGTCGACAGGAGTAACCAGTCTCGTTGTCGTACCAACTGATCAGCTTGACGAAGGTGTCGTTCAGGGCAATGCAGGCCTTGGCATCGAAAACGGAGGCAAATCGAGATCCGTTGAAGTCGGTGGACACCACCTCCTCCTCCACATAGCCCAGGATGCCCTTCATATCGCCCTCGGCCGCTGCTTTGATGCACTTCTTGATGTCGTCCATTTTGGCTGGCTTGGAGAGGCGGCAGGTTAGGTCCACCACAGAGACGTTGGGCGTTGGAACGCGAAAGGCCATTCCCGTGAGCTTGCCGTTGAGGTCCGGGATGACTTTGCCCACTGCCTTGGCGGCCCCCGTGGAGGCGGGGATGATGTTGGTCATGCCACTGCGTCCATCCCGCCAGAGCTTGCTGCTGGGTCCATCGATGATCTTTTGAGTGGCGGTGGCTGCATGCACGGTGGTCATCAGGCCCTCGCATATCTGGAAGTTATCATGCACCACCTTGGCCAGCGGCGCCAGGCAGTTGGTGGTGCAGGATGCATTAGAGATAATCTTCATGTCCGGCTTGTATTTGTCGAGATTCACTCCGCACACGAACATCGGAGCATCGGCGGATGGGGCCGATATGACCACCTTCTTGGCCCCACTGTCCAGGTGCGGTTGGCAGGCTTTCAGGGTGGTGAAACGCCCGGAGCACTCCACCACCGAGTGCACGCCCATGTCGCCCCACTTCACCTTCTTGAGATCCGGCTCCTTGAGCAACTGGATCTTCTTGCCATTCACGACGAGGCAATTTCCCTCTATCGAGATCTTCTGGTTGAATTGCCCATGGGTGGAGTCGTATCGCAGCATGTAGGCCAGGTACTTGGGATCCAGCGAGGGATCATTGATGGCCACAATCTGGACATCCTTCCGCACCAGAGCCTGGCGGGCGAACATCCGCCCTATGCGCCCAAAGCCATTGATTCCGATTCCGGACATTTTATGACTCGAATAATTTTGAAGAATTTTGCTATGTGTATAGAAAGATTATCCAACTACATACATAGTAGGTGAACTACGAAAAAGCCTTCAAGAGTAAAATGATTTCCGGATCCCAGCTGCCCCTGATCCGCTTCAGCTTTTGGCTCCCTGTTGGAAGGCATACATAATTACGCAGCTGGGTATAAATCAATCGAACTCGACCACCTGCCGAAGTTTCTCACGAAACAAAATTACAATAACCTTCGGGAACGCCCATTCCGAATTGTCTGGAGCCCCAAGGAAGTGGGAGTGGCTCCCAAATTGCTGCCCACACACATTGCCGTGCATAGAAAATCCAGCTTCAAGGGTCATTACTCACCTTTGTGCGGAATGCTCGAATCCCTCGGGACCCCACCCTTTCATACACTTTGAAAAACTTAGTCGATTTTGAATATAATAAATACCATATTCAAAACATATTATTCAAAAGAACTTACATTTTTGGTACATGGTTCCCAAGAACTTGAAAAAACATTTCTCTTTTTCGGAGACTTCAAAAAAAGCACATATCATAACTGGTGATAGGATCATCAGAAAATTAAGATGTTTTTTAAGTCTTTTTATTAATATTTATAATAATAATAATATTACCAGTAACAAAAAAAATTTATTTTAACTTACTTAAAATACTAAAGTATCAAAAATTTTAAAATTACAAAACAAAATAAAATTGTTTCATAACGATTTGAGTTATGTTGCCACCATTTTTATCTGTGTGTAGTTTTTTCTTTTTAAGCATACCAGATGACGGCTATCAACCATAGAAATTTCCGTTCCCGGTAGCCATCTGCCCGCTCGGCCCATGACTTGGCTGGAAATACAATATTGAATCGAGTTGTATTCGGTCGGCCTTTGGTGGAGACCCCACTCTGGTATCGACCTGTTCCTGGGTTAGGGAAATCGTTTTGCGTCTGCAACTAGCTATGACAACTTAACTTTGTTGAATATTTTATTTATGGATCTGAAGCAACAGCAGGACGGCTGGCAGCATGTTGCTGGCAACATTTCGACGCCCCCGCAGAAAATTCCAACTGAGCGCAAGGACTCTCTCTCTCTTCTAATTTTGGCCAGGACAACGGGGCTCTCCGGGTCCTGTGTGGTGAGTTTTCCTTTTTGGGGCCGCGCTGATTACGAAATTGTTGCAGTAATCGCAGCACCCGCAGTTGCAAGCCCCGGATATCTGGAAATCCGAGCTCCAAACTCCTACTCTGGGTATCATTTATGTTAGAACTCAGGATTGGTAGGTGCCATAAATGTTAAACACTCCTCATGAAATCCTATTAAATTTTGCTTTACTTTATGGACTCTGGTCGAACCGTTGGGGGGATCTAAGCTGGGTCCGCGGAACCCTTGCAACTTTGTTGTAGCTTGTTTACTTTAGTGTCCCTGCCACTTGAAATTTATGCGAAAAACTTTCAAATTTGAAACTTGCCTGCTGAGAAATGGTCTACTAGGAGCCATGGGAGCAAATCCCCTTTTAAGAGCAGCTTTGACCAAAGTTTGACAAAGTGTTGAAATATGGAATATATGAAATTTAATTCAACGCAAAACAATAAAGATGGTGGTAGAGTTAGGGAAATTTTGGCAGTGGAAAGTTTTAGCAGTTTACTAAGGTAAGCTCTAGCTAATGATTTTTGTTGAAGTTTTATCAGCTTGAAAAGATCGCTAAACTAAAAATGAAGCGCCCTCCAGCAAGGTTGGGATACTATGTATTCCATATGAAGGGGATTGTTTAAGGCAACCTTAATCTTAATCACTGTTTTTCAACAATCATCGAGCATTATGAAATATGGTAGCCTTTTCATATTTCCTACCGTTAAGCACGTAGAACAGTGGGCTAATAAATCTTTTTTGATGGTATCGTAGTAACTTTAATGTACCTCAAGATATCTAGGGAATTTTTAGTTACCAAGGCATACCTCATATACAACATTTTTCCCCAAAATACAGTCAATGTCAGCGCACAAAATGCCCTTTAAATAATAAATAGTAACATCCACTTTGATTATATTTTTGTTCGTGTACTTGCGCACATAAAAGACCAATGGTAAATGTCCCTCCAGGGCCTCTTTAACTTGTTGGCCGGGCCAAGGGCCCCACCAAAGTTGGTCTACAAGCCGGATAAATGTATTTAAGACCGTTGCTGGCATTAAAGCAGACCAGACCAGGCTTAGGCTGACTGAACGGGAAAACAAATCGCTTGCGAAATGTTGCGGAAGTGCCAATTGTTTTATTATATGTTTTTCAGCAGCGAAGGACAAAGTGCCTCCATAATTTCCACAGCTGTCAATGCGCTGCGGAACAGCTTAGCATTGGGACCCGAGATTCCCCAGCTCCTTAGCTTCTCCTTAAGTCCTCCTCACTTTCTGATCGCATTGAGCTTATATAGTACAAGTACTACATGGAAAAAAAATCTGTAGGGATCAACTTGATATTTGCATGGTATATTTTTTTGGTATATTTTTTACCATTGGTTTATGTACATACCAAAAAAAGAAATGGATTTCCTCTCTACAAATTTTCTAAAATCAAAAAAGAGAGGAAAGATTGATTTAGCGCTTTAAAATACTCTGGATAAGAGCGAGAGGTCAATATTAGAAAGAAATAGGAAAATAGATCAAGATGGCGAGCATACCAAAGCGATATTAAGATACCACTCGTGTCTAGATAGAAATGATACTGAATTTCATAAAAATTATCGTGATATCTTATATAGTTTTTCTCTTTGTGTATATCCCTTTTTTCGATGGGTGCAAACATGTTGTTTGGCTGCTTAGCGATTATCCGGGGGATCAATATTCGGCAGCCAGCTGGAGGACCCGGTCCCCGAAATAGTTTTCAGTAGCCGGGTGGTACATCATCTCCAAATTGAATTGTCAGGCACAAGTGCGCTGCTCTGCTGCAAATTTCGGGAGGAACAAAGAGCTGTTCGGTGAACAAAGGGATAAGGAGTCGGGGCCACATCCAGCCGAGCTCGACTTTATACTCGCATTCCAACTGACAGCTAATTGTGCGCTCAAGTGCCTAAAGGGGGCGTGGCCGGGATTTGCATACCCAACTTCCCAACTCCCCCACAACTTGTCCTCGCCAGAACTTGGAATTAAATCAAAGGGCCAATGCGGCAGATGGAAATCGTTTATTATGGGTTTTTTCTTTTGTCTGCCTCTGAAAACTTGGCATTTTTGGCAGGTCATGAAATTCGTAACCTACATGAGTCGTATCTGGCCAAACAAATCAGTTGCAACAGAATACCCGGAACGAGGAGGAGAAAATGTTCTGACAGAGGAGTCAACCCATTCAATGACTTAGATATAATTCAATTTGCATTTTTGCGGATGCACAACGACATTTTTCCGCTCGTGTGTTTGTGTGGTATTGAAAGTTTTCGTGGAACTTTCAGGGTAACTTAGTAAATGAGTTTTCAATAAATGTACTGCGGGCATTCCGAGAGGGAAGATGAAGGGAAATGTGATTTATCCGAAATAGGGTCGCACAGGAAAAATAACCGAAAGGGGGCTAGAAATGTGGATTATATAATTTGGCAATCGATATTGTGGTTCCTACGTTATAAAAGATTGTTTGTTGTGCTACAATATTTATAGGATTTGTATGTTTTTTATTAAAAGCTTAGACCTAAAAATACTAATTTTCTAAAATACTAAAATAATTAAACATATTTTTATACGTTTAAATATATTGTTATTATTAATTGTTTACTAGTTTTTAAATTTGGAAC